GAAGTTGAGCAGTATCAGATCAGCCATGATCTCGGTGAATGGTGGCACACTCAATGGGCTGAATGGTCTATATCTGCTCCTGTCTTTTGGAGTCATGTCACATTTGTGTTTTTTTTAAAACCAATTTTCCCTTTAGATTTGAGCCCAAATGTGTTGTGATGCCCAGTTTCCAAATGTTTGACTCTCATCAGGTATTTGCTCCACCATTTCTGAGAACAAAATTCCATATCCATAGAATCCCTACAGTGTGGAAACAGGCAACAATTCTTTCCTTGTTGGACTAAAGATAGTCCTGGAAACTACAAAATTTCACAATTTGATCACATACTTTGTCTTTACTCAGTTTGACAGTTAAAATCAATCAACATTTTATTTGCACAAATTTGTAAGAGCCAATGATGAGCTCCAGACCAGCGTACACAGGAAGGCCACCCTTATGGATCAGGTACTCAACTACAATAGCAATCATCTCAGTACCCACAAATGGAGCTGCATCAAAACACCATTCAACTGAGCCACAGCACACTGCAGCACCTTGGAGCTATGCAAAGCTGAGGAAGAATACCTCAACATCTTTAGAAACAACAGTTACTCGAAAAGCATAGTCCGTTGATACCTCCACAACAGGAAGACGCAACACATCCAGAGACACTAGTCACCCTTCCATACATCAAGGACATATCTGAAATGACCACCAGATTACGCCACCTCCTAGGAATCATGATAGCCCACAAACCGACAGCTACTGACGAGAATAAAGGATCTGACAACCACAACTTACAGAACCCACGTTATTTACAAGATACCATGCAAAGACTGCCAAAAACATTACATAGGGCAAACTGGAAGGAAACTAGCCATCAGGATTAATGAACACCAACTAACTACCAAGAGACACAACCAACTATCACTCATTTCAATACACATGGACAAAGAGGGACACCAATTTGACTGGGACAGCGTAGCCATCCTAGGACAAGCCAAGCAAAGACACGCATGAGAATTCCTGGAGGTCTGGCACTCAAACCAGAACTCTATTAACAAACATGGACCCCATATACTAACCACTAAGAAACAAATCTGGAAGTGATGCCACCCACCCCAGCAAACCAAGGCACATAAATAGTAAGCAGGACAGAATACTGACGCTTCACTGGGGGCGCGCTGATGATTTTACCTAGCATGGTGACAAAACATTTGCAAACAAACTTACCAGCTCGGAAGTCAACAATCGCATTAACAACTTGAGCTACAAATCTTCTCAAAAACCTTGAATTCTGACCCAGTGACAACAAAGGAATAGTGATCCTGTGCCCAGGCAGGATGGCATTTGGCTTGGAGGAGAACTTGCAGGTGGTGATATTTCCATCCAACTGTCACCCTTGCTCTTCGAATTAAGAGGTCATGTTTTGTCAAAGGAACCTTGGTGAATTGCTGCAGTGCATCTTGTATATGGTGTAGACAGGTTCAACTGTGTGTTAATTGGAGGAGAGTAAATGCTGGAGAGAGTAAATGGATGGATGATAATCAAGCTGCCTTATTTGTAATACATGGTGTTGGCTTTGAGTTGCACTCATCTAGGCAAGTGGACAGTATTCCATCATGCTCCTCACCTCTGCCTTGTGGATAGTTAACAGGTGGCAAGTCAGGATCAATATTCCCTTGTATAGCCTCCGTATTTGTATGGCTGATCCAATTGAGTTTCTGATCAATAGTAACCCCCATGACGTTGATAATGGGAATTCAGCAGTAGTAATGTCACTGACTGTAAAGGGGAGATGCTTGTCTGGCACAAATGTTAGTTGCACTTATCAGCCAAGCCTGAATGTTATCCAAGTCTTTCTGCACAAGGACATTGACTTCTCAGATACTGAAGTAGGCATCAATCATGTTGAACATTGTGCGATCATTATTTAACATCCCCACTCTGACCTTATGATGGACGGCAGGTCATTGGTGAAGCAGCTGACAATGGGTAGGCCTAGGACACTAGCCCAAGGAACTCCTACGGAGATGTCCAAGACTGATACGACTGACCAGCACCAGTAACCATAATTTTTTTGGTGGCTTGTTATCCATACCAAAAGCAAGGTACCACTTTATTTACTATTTCTTAATGTAATCAAATGAATTCTGAATAAGGAAACATCATAAACTATGCTTAACATATCTAGTACCATGATTTAAAATTAATTCAAGCGATATGAGCATAAATGGTAAGGACAGCATTGATTGCCTTTTAAGAAAGTAGTGGTTGAACTTTTTACTCCAGATAAGTTAATTGGAATCAAATGCCTACTACTGCTGTCTTGCAATCTGAACTTCCAGAGATTCAGCCTCCGAATTACTCACCTGGTAATATAACTATGCTAATGTTCCCTACATATTTTGCAGTTATCCAGGGAAGTGGAAGGAATTCTATCATACTCCTGAGTTGTATCGTGTTAATGGTGGATAGTTGGTGAGTTACTTGCTCCTGAAATCCTACACTGACCTGCTCTTACAGCCAATGACCCCTCTAAGTTTCCAGACATGCAGCTACTTGAAGGTTCTGTGCACACTGGTGTGCCGACGCAAACCTCTGGTTCTGGAAATTACTACTCTGCATGGATCTTCAAAGTCTGCATAGCAGCAGAAAAAAGTTACTGGGAAAGTAGCCACAATATTTTTGGCTGTTTTAGATCAGTGTTAACCTCAAGGATGTTAAGTGGGAGATTCAACAATGGAATGCCATTAGACATCAAAGGGTAATGGCTAGATTCTCTCTTGTTGGAGATGGTCATCACTTTATACTTTGTAGCATGAATGTTAGTTGTCATTTAACAGCCCAAGACTGGATGTTGTCCAGATCACTCTGAAAACAGACAGGGATTGCTTCAATATTGAGTTGCATAATGTTCAACAAATATCCCATTTCTGACTTACGATGGAGGGAGGAATTACCAATCATGACCATTAGTCCACTGTGATGCTGTTAATATTGACTCACGTTAATATTGAGTTCACACCACTAATGCTCACTTCATGTTGACTTAGCCCATCAGTAATGGTGCAAGTCATTTCAGTGCCACTGGATTAAAGATATTTAAATCAGTCAAGTATTTTGATGAAGAAGTCCACACCACAAAATAAGTGTATAGGAGATGTGGACAGTATTGAGTTCAGATGCAACGGCCGGAAAAACAACCTTTTGAGGTTTGCACATTAATCATGGTCAATGGGGTTGGGAGAGGATATAAAATCCTTCCAATTTCCCTTGCATTAGAAAAAAAATGAACCTTACACAAAAGGCCATTCCTTATTAGAGGTTAGACTAAAACCATTAGGGAGATTCCTACTGCATCATAAGGATAATGGGTGGGGAGGATATACAAGGCGTCTACTTAGAACATAAACCTACTGTGTTTTCTCCAACCCAGATGCTTAAAAATCTGCTGTGCATTTTTAATAATTTGTGCTCTTTATTTCACATTGCATTGGATGTCTAGTTCTCATTGGCAGTGTAAACAACAGAAATTAGAACAATGAATGGACATGCCAATCTACTAGATCCAATGATCCAGGTGACTGCAGGTGATCCCCAGGTACTTCTGTTGGACAAGTAATATAGAATGAGTTGACATTTTGATACAATGATTGGAACAAGTTTCCATAATTTGAATGTGTTATTAAACTAGTCAAGGCATAAAGATTTTTCAAATATAATCTAAATTCTCAATTACAGAACAAAATGCCATACATATTTGCATTGATCACATTTTCAGACATGGTTTCTGCTGATGGGAGATAAAGAACTAAAATTAGTATGGTGATATAATGAAGTACTAGATGGAAGAATATTCTTGGTACTTGATCCTAGACATGAAGTACCCCTGTAAGGGCAGTAGTAGAAAACAGTTTGTCTGGGAACTGGTAACACTACTTTTGTCTTTTAAATAATGACATTAATATTGTGAATGATTAGCATGATTATGACAGTTATTTGATTTAAAGGGCAATACAGATTGCACACTTTTCCCATGGGCATGGAGCTTGGAATCACTTTGTCAACAGTAATCAAGTCCAATAGTAATTTTAATTGAAAAAACATTTCTTATATATTATTTCACAAAAATATTTTGATCTATGCTAAAAAAGTTTATTTTTAAAATTGGAAGTAAAGTTTATGTAGAAACTCCGCAGTCTATTGCAGTTAACTGTCTGAAATAAATATGGACAGTTTGACAATACTGAATCAAAAGTCTAAAATCAGTCCTTATTTACAGCATCTCAATTTAAGGTTGTGTGTAAGATTATTATTAGAAAGCTTGAATTGTAAATCACTCCCTTCAAATGTTACATTTAATTCAGAACACCAACATAGTTAATGTATAGCTGTAATGGGAAAGGGCTATAGTTCAGTTGATTCATCATAATGAGAGATAACCTGATAGAAGTTTATAAAATAATGACGTCATAAGAGGTATAGATAGAGCTGATGGTAGTTGTCTTTTCCCTAAGATAGGGAATTTCAAGACTAGGGGACACATTTTTAAGGTGAGAGGAGAGAGATTTGAAAAAGACAGGGGAGGCAATTTTTTTTACAAGAGGGTGGTTTGTGTGTGGAAGGAATTTCCTGATGAAGTGGTGGATGTGGGTACAATTACAACGTTTAAAAGACGTTTGGATAGCTACATGAATAGGAAAGCTTTGGAGTAATATGGGCCAGGAGCAGGCAGGTGGGTACTATTTTAGTTTGGGATTATGTTCAGCATGGATTGGTTGGACTGAAGGGTCTGTTTCCCGGCTGTATGACTCAGAGCACAACAGAGTCAACAACCAAATATTGTGGTTAAAAAAAATCACATATTAATTCCGTAATATAAACGCTAACGTCAAGGAAAGGCAGACAATGTCAAAGGCAACCCATCTGAAGAAATTTTTCATGGAATAAGTTTGCTCTGCAAGCATGTGAAGCACCAGAAACCCTTCAAGCTGTCACAGGAAAAGGTCACACTCTGTAACAGAAGTGGACAATTTATTTTACACACAAGTACATAATTTCCCTTTACTTGGAAAGGTTGGTCACAGATGACATGGAATGTTATGGTACTCACTTGCATATAGTTCTGTGCACAATTTTTGTACCTTTTAAAAAGTGTACAAAACGTCAGCATATTTCTCAAATATACGATGTTGAATATATATCTTTTTTAATTACAACAGCAACATTAGAACACAACCTGTACAAGTATCCTTCCTCAAACTGTTTTTATATCACTGCACCAGATTTAGGTTGATTAATTAAAAACATACCCACAGGTCAGCTTCACTAAAAAGCAAACGGCAGGGCAGTTATTACAGTTTGAGTGACTTAATCTATGCATGTTTAAACAACTCCAACTGTCAGTAAAATGCTTCCAAACAAGGCCCCTGATTGTTACTTAATCCAGTCTGCACGTGTAGATCTTTACATTCAGTGATGCTCCAGACCTTTCTCGAATTGTGCTCTGGCAAGTACACTGCCTGAATCAACATGTTAATAGTACTGCAGATGATATGGCAGTCCCACGTTTGTCAGGATTCTCCATTTTGTACTTTGGCTATTGGTGGCTGAAGAAAATCTTTAAATGGAACTAATGCTTCTTTCAAAGCTGAGCAAACTTCAGATGATGTGCAGGTAATACACTCTACAAGTGTTGGATACAAAGCAATTACCTGCGACCAGGTGTTGGTATCAACTGTAAAGAGAAAAAACAGAAGATAAAGCAGCGAGCATTTATATAAAAGCAACAAACCAAATATATTTTCTGAAATCTAAAAGTGCGATGAAGATTTATAAGATATTGTTATTTAGGAACTTGTCAGCTAAAGTAGGGGTAAATAGGTTTTGTTTTCAGTTCTATGAAAATGACATTTTTTAAATAGTTAGAAACTTTTTAAGGAGTGGGTCAAAATAACATTTCCATGAAATCAAGAGACTTAATCCAAATGTCTGTACAAGGTCCCTGGTGTGATAATTGAAACGTTCACTAAACTGAGATTTTCAACCGAGCAAAAAGACAGAAAAGGGGCACATTCTTGTGAATGTATTCAGTGACTGGCCACCAGAGTAACTTACATTCAAAAATAAAACTCAGTCTTTTAAGCCAGGTTTAATTCTGGAATATGACTTGTACAGTATTACCATCAGCTGGAATCATAGCAAAAGCCAGTGAAATAGTTCTGTCACTATTTCATGGCATCACATTGAAACAATAAGCTGTAAAGTCAGGCACATACATCACACCTTCAGATATTGTCTTGAATACAAGCAGGTTTGGAGATGTGGAATTTGACTGACATTTGAGTACAAGCATCATTTGCCAGCAGTTGTTGGCATAATTCATCAGCAGCTTCTAGCAGTCTGGTTCTTAAAGCCTGGTTGAAAGTTTTGGGAAGATACAATCACTCCAACACAAAAAGACAAAGCCCCAAAGTGACAATATATTGAAACAGCCAACTTAAATCAATGCATATTTGTTCACTTTTTCCTTTTGTTCCATTTTTTGAAGATTATGATTCATGATGTTAATCCAAACAAATAGCACACTTCCACATTAAAAGTTTTGTTACTCCCCAGTTGGTTTAGCTGGATGTTAAGACAGATTGAATCTCAGCATGCTGAATTCTCATGATTATAGCTGAAAGTGTCATGAAAGAAAAACTGAAACAAATACAATCTTCTCAGAGTTTGATGGTCCTCAAAGCAACTGCTGTGCTGTGTTGACACTGTTGGAAAACAGCAGAGAAATGGGACTAACCATTCAGTTCTTACAAAAAGGCATAGTAGGCCCAAAACCACTTACAAGACATGCACGTACACATGCAAATACATTAATTTGCATAGAATTGTGGAGAAACTAGAAGTTTCATCATTTTATGCAGCCTAAAAACAAAAGCCTTAAAATCTCTCATACATTTTGTGTTAATTGTGCAATGAAACTAAATCAAAATGGTCTGAAGAATTAAAGTAGTAAGATGGCAACTCAGAAAAGATTGATAACAGCAGTTTATATGAATGGTCTTTGAGCAAATGCACAACCCGTGAGCTCAGAACAATTTAAAAAGAACAGATTCATGAGGCAAAATGCATTGTGTTTATTGCTTTACAGCCTCAGTTTCACAATCAAATTTTATTATGTATATTTAATGTGAAGAAAGCAAAACATGTTGCTTTTTAAAGCTCTTCTGCTCATTCATCATGGGAAAGATATCTTAGGAATGACAAACATTAGCAACCCAAAGTCACAAGTTCAATTCACAGTTTGGTAAGTTGTAAACTGAATCCAATGAGTTGGCTACAAAGTGGTCATGCAAGTTACCGGAATTTTGTAAAGGTCCAAATGATTCACAAACATCTTTCATGGATGGGAATCAGACACCACCACTCCCCATAGCATGGAAAACTCTGAATGCCGTCAAAATGGCCTAACAAGCCACTTAGTTGTCCAGGAAACCAGGGATGGGCAAAAAGTGAAGCCCTGCTCTGCATAACCCACATCCTGAGAACAGTTTTAAAAATTACCGTTTTCAGGCTTTGTTTTCTTAAGTGAATCCATGAGTGTGCTGATTGCTTTCAGAACGAACACTATTTCTGTCACTCGCTGTCTGCATTAAAAGAGACAAAAATTAGAGGATGTGTGTGTGCTTAATTTTTAAAGAAGTAAACATACACAATACAGATACCAACAGAATGTAAAAATAATACACATTCCTGCCTGTACAGCATTGGACACACGATGGCAACATTGTCTCATTTCCTTTTTTTAAAAACTCAAATGATGCTCTGCAATGTATATTTATATAATTTATTTTCAACTAACCTCCAACCTGTAATCAGCTTATGGGATACTACCCATGCTTAAAAAAAATCCAGAACAGTTTACCCTTTCCAGTGTGATAGTTAACACAGGGTTAGAGTAATAAAGTGGTTTAGACTTTGTCCTTTCTCCTACCCATACTAATGTGCTGACAGCCTCGCAGGAGACTGTCAACACAATACATATAAACTCAGTAGCTACAGTACAGCATCAGCTCATAGCAAAAGGGGCAACTGCAGAGATGGGCAAATGCAGCTAGTAATCAAGTCCCAATAAATGCTGTGTTGTTCTGAGCATGGGTACATTGTTGGGAGAGAATGAAAGGAGATTTACTCTGCCCCCAGTTACATAATGTGAGACAAAAATGGAAAACATTCCAACCCTGATATTAGAATCCTTGACCTTGACAAAGAAAATTCACTCTAAAAACTCTGAAATTGGTGTCAGATACTAACAGGTAAGAAATAAATGGTTGATGAATTGTTGCTAAGAATACAGTGAAACAGACGATTAATATGCATAAATGTCAATGTAAATGCATCAGCAAGACAATGACCAATACTTGTTTTCCTAGATTATCAAGCAGTTGCAGTTTTGTCAGATTTGGAAATTGGATCTCACCTCAATTTTAACATTTCAGATTAGCAAAATTAAATCAGAAAAAAAAAGTGAAAACACTAACTTTTGGTAAACAGCATAATGTAAAACAGGGCTGCTGATTCTCTATGAGCCTATCTCACACTACGGCAAACACTGATTTCATCTCTATTAATTTCATAAAAATGAGTAATACTAAAATTAAAATTCAATTAGCTTTAATCTCTTAATTGAATTCTGAGGATTAGTTCCGAAATATGTTCTGAATAACACCACTCAAGACAATGTGGTGTGCTGAATAAATTAAAACAATCACATCTACAACAATGTTCTTCATTAAGGAACCTCCATTAGTTACTTTCAGAGTGGGACAACTGTACATAGTGGTCAATGAGCTGTTTATCAAATGCAATCATGCACCTGTTCAACTCAAATTTAATACACAACACAAGATTGCTGGAATTCAATGATATTACATTGCATCACACAACTTTCAACAATACTTTAGGTTTGCATTTTTTCCTTTAGTTGCCTGATATTGCTAGAGCACCAGTTTGTTAGAGCTGAACATTATGACAAAGTTGTAATAATATGCAAATGTATCTTGGTTACAATGGTCCACTATTAACTTTGTATTAGACAGATAACTGTAGGACAGCATAACCTATACAGTACAGGCCATACATAAATATACATAAAAATAAAGGGGGGAATAGAGTAGGTAAATTTAGCATCGTGAACATACCTTTTAATGGCTAAAGGAGACATTCAAGTTTGCATATTTTAAGTTTAGTGTTTTATTTAAATTGAGTATTCCTTTGAAATGAGCCCTGACTACACCTCCTCTAAGCCCAAAATTAAAGGTGAACATCATCCATAACTCAGCAATGGTCCCTGGAATATTTGTTTCCTAATAGCATAAACTCTCTTTTAGATTCAAGGTATTTTGATTTAAAACATTTAGAAATGGCAGTTAATTCAGCAATTCAAAAGTAGTTTATTCTAACCTTGGGAGAGGACATCTGCCACTCAATTTCTCATCTTCAATGTACCGATGCAACACATCTTGTGACCTCTTTAGCAGCACAGACAATGCCATTCGGGAAATATACCCTTCCTGGGGAGTTGTCACTTTATTACTGAAGGAAAACTGAAGCAGCGTTTCAAAGCAGACTTTAGAAAACTCCTCTCTCATTCGAATGTCAATTTCTGCCTCTGTAGAAGTGAAGCAGAATAGGAAAAATACATTTTATTGAAGGCAAAGCATTTTCTAAGTTGCCAAACAAAAAAAAAACTGAATGCTGGAAATCAGAAATAACATCAGAGATTGCTGGAAAAGCTCAGCAGGTCTGGCAGTATCTGTGCAGAGAAAGCAGAGTTAACATTTCAGGTCCAGTAAACCTTCTGCAGAAGAATTCAGATTTTGTTTCTCTAAGTTGCTGTTCACTTTCTTTATTGTTGCAGTTTACTTATGGTCCAATATTTCTGTAGCTTGGCTAACACTATACAGCCAAACGGGGATGCTGGCTCTGAGTATGTTTTTGCCAACTTACTGCAGGTGATTGAAGGCAAGGAGTTCGAGTGTGCTGGGAGTGACAGAGACTGAGAAAGACTACAGTTATTTTTACTGGTCCGGTTTCAAGCATTCAAACCGCCAAATAAGCTTCCTAACGCAAGTTGCAGACCCAGTTTTCAAAGTTTCACTTCAAAATTTACAGTTTTGCCATACTGAACCACCCATTTCTTTTTAATTACTGCTATAGTGCCAGTGTTGCTGAATGCAATTGACTGACTGAACTAGTTTAAAAGGACACCAAAGGAATAGCTCCCTCTAAGATTCTGGACTCATTTCTTTTTCATGTGTGGTTAAATGGCCTGTCTGCACCCATATTGCAGAAATTCACTGATGTTGATGTCAGTGCCTTTGTTACTGAAATTAGTGTTTCTTACCCTGGAAACCAAATAGCTAAGAACATGAACTTATGTCCAGGTACAGGACATGTCCAGGAACTTATGTCCATCAACTGAACACGACAAAGAATATCTCATTTTTATTTACTGAACACTAGTGCCCATTATGAATATATGAATTGGGAGGAGGAGTAGGCTACTCGACCACTGGAGTTTGCACCACCAGTCAATAAGGCCCAAAAAGTAGAGAACAGCTGATCTGATTACTTCACATTCTCACATACTCCTGATAACCTTTCGTCCCTTGCTTATTAGGAGTCTATCTACTTCTGATTATTTTTAAAGCAAAGATTCTGCTCCAACTACCTTTTGAGGAAGAGACTTCCAAAGACTCATGATTCTCCGTGAGAAATAAATCACCCCATCTCTATCTTTAATGTTGAGTCTTTATTTTGAAACCTAGCTCTAGATTTTCCAATAAACATCCTTTTCACACCCATCTTATCAAGATGCATAAAGATCTTACATGTGTCAATCAAGTTGCCTCTCACTGTTCTAAATTCCAACACATACAAGCCTAGCAAGTCCAACCTTTCCTCAGAAGAGAACCTGCTCACACCAGATGTCAGTCTAGCAAACATTCACTGAACTGCTTTCAATGTATTTACATTCTTCCTTAAATAAAGAGCCAAATACTATACACAATGGTCCAGATGTGGTCTCACCAGTGCCCTGTGTAACTGATGCATAACCTTTCTACTTTTGCATTCAATTCCTCTTGGAATAGTCAATAACATTCTATTAGTTTTTCTAATTACTTGTAGTATATAGAAAATAGCCTTTTACAATTCACACATTAGGACACCCAGATTCCCCTCAGAGGAATCATCTCAGAGCTCTGCAATCTCTCATTTAGAGAATATGCTTCTTTATTTTTCCTAAACTGGATAATTTCACATTTTCCTACATAATACACCTTTTACCATATTTGTCCATTCACAAACTATGCATATCGCTTTGTAGCCTTCTTATATCATCTTCACAACTTGCATCAACAAATTTAGCAACTTTACCTTCGGTTTCTTTATACAAATCAGAAGTAAAGTGTAAATAGTTGAGTCAACAACACTGATCCCTGTGACTCACCACTCATTGCATCTTGCCAACCCAAAAAAAGACTCTTTTATGCCTCGCCTTCATACAAAATGATCAAATTCTTAAACATGATTCTATTCTTACATATCATCTTTAATTGTGAAGCAAGTCAAAAATTGTGGTGTCAAGCTTCTTGGGTGTTTTTGCAATTGCACTCATCCAGGCAAGTGGAGAGTCATCCGGCATGCTCCCAACTAGTACCTGTAGGTGATGGATAGGCTTTGGGGCATCAGGGGATGAGTTACTAGTTGCAGGATTCCTAGCCTCTGATCTGGTTCTGGTCAATGGTAACCCCCAAGATGTTAATAGTGGGGAATTCAGTGATAGAAATGCCAAAGATTGTCAAAGGGTGATGGTTGGATTCTCTCTTGTTTGTAGTAGTCATTACCTGGCATTTGTGTGGTATGAGTCTTACTAGCCACTTGTCGGTACAAACTTGAATATTGCCCATAACTTGCTGTATTTGGGCACAGACTCAACTGAGGCATTCAGAGGGCACTGGATGATTATTTAATAGGAAAAATGTGCAGGTTTATGGAGAAAAGGTAGGAGATTGACAACAAGTTAAATTCTCAGAGTCAGTGTAGACATGATGAGCTAAATGGCCTCCTCCATAAGAATCCCTTGATTCTATGATTGGCATTATTAGGCAGCTAATAGCAGTTTCAATGTAAACACAAGGGACTGACTCACAGATGCCGGTCTCCTGGAATCTATGTTAAAACATTTTGGCAGAATTTAGAATCTTTCTGAATGGATTAACTTGAGATAAACATCTCTGTTTTGTAAAAATAATGTTAATCTATACATAAACATACTAAATATATACAAGCAGCACACACATACACACACACATGGTTGAATTTAGAATGTGGTATATTGGATTTAAGGTCCTTCATTAGAGGTTAGTGGGCAGAGTTAAAGCATATGGGACAGTGTGTAATGCACTGGCATGGATCAAGAATTGATTGACAGACTGTAAACACAGAGTGGGAATAAATGGGTCTTCTTCTGAGTTGCAAGCAGTGACTAATGGCGATTTACAAGGACCTGGTTTGGGCCCCAGCTATTCACAATACATAAACAAATCACTTGGTTGAGGGAAACAATTGCAACATTTATAAGTTTGCTGATAGACAAAACAGCAGGATTGAGAGTTAGGAGGATGCAAGAAGGCTTCAATTGATTTAGACAAATTGAGTGAGTGGGCAACCCATGTACAGTGTGGTTAAATGTGCAGTTATACATTTGAGTGTGAAAAACAGAAAGGAATAGTATTATTTAAATGGTGATGTATTGGGAAGTGTGAATGCGCAAATGGATCTTTGTACAACAGTCAATGAAAGACAGGCAGGTGCTGCAGGCAATTAGGAAGGCAAATTGTACATTGGCCTTCATTGCAAGAAGATTTGAGTCCACAAGTAGGGATGCCTCATTGCAGTAATATTAGGCTTTCATGAGCCCACATCTGAGTACCGTGTGTAGTTTTGATCTCCCCATCTAAGAAAAGATTTACAGGCACAGAGGGAGTGCAGCAGAGGTTCACTAGGCTGATACCAGGAATGGCAGGATTGTTACACATGGACAGCTTGTTTGAACTGGGCCTGTATTTACTAGAGTTTAGAAGAATGAGAGGCTAACCATATAAATTTCTTGAGAGCTGGTCAGACTAAATGACAGAAGGAATGATTTCTTCACTTAAAAGGTGGTGAAACTGTGGACTCTCCACCACAGAAGGCCATAGAGGCCAACTGACTGAATATGTTAAAGAAAGACATAATTTTCGTTTAAGATTTTAAAGGCATCAAGGGGTAGTGGGAGAAAGTGAGAACATGGTAAACCTGTATTTGTACAGCCACATTTACATAGATCAAATGGTCTTAAGATGCTGCACAAAAGCACTAAGCCAAAAAGGCTCATAAAGACGAATAACGATATTAACATAGATAGCGAAAACTTAGTCAAAGAGGTGAGCTTTGAGGATCCTAAAGAAGAGGGAAAGGTTTAGAGAGATAATTCAAAAATTTCTAAGCAGAGGGCATGATGTCAACAATGGAACGAAGAACGAGGGGAGTCCATAGTTCTTGGAGGGTTGCATGGTTGGAGGAAGTTACAGCAATAGGAAAGAAAAGGTCAGAAAAATATTTAAAACGACATTTAAAATGAATATTTTAAATGAGGGGCACTGGGGAACTGGGAACAAATGTAGATCATTCTGGACATGGATAATGAGTGTAAGGAATTTGATGATGGAAAGTAAGAATGCAACACAGATCTGAGCGACTTGAAATTTACAAAGGGTGAAGGATGGATGGCAGCCCGAGAAGATTGGAATTGGAGGTCTAAATAAGCATGGATAAATGACAGGCTGAGACAGCAGCTAAGCCAATAGGCAGCTTTTGCAATGGCATTTGCTCAGAGTTATTTCAGGGTCAAATAGCATCAGACTTTAAGTTGAAAGCTTATAAATTTTTTGTCACATGTATTGGTGTACCTTTTTTAAAAAAGTTTCACCTGCATATATTCAATTATAATCTCTAACCATATACCAGCAAATACAATTTATAAGTCTTTATCTCTTCTTCACACATCCATGAAAATATCTGCAGGTAAAATAGGCCTTTCAATAATGACACAATGATTCTAAAGCTCCAATCTATTTTGACACACATCTGTTGACAGTTTGATGTCATCCTAATATGATGGAGCTTTTCCAATATGCTAAAGGATAAAATGAAATTATCTTAACACTGCAGACGCAACACAAGACAGCAATGTCACACTTAGTAAAACAGCATTATTTAAAAGGATAAGCAGCTGCTTTTGGGATGGTTTCACAAAGAACAGTAAATCCAACCTAAGTGAAAATTTTCCTTTTAAACTGAGACAAGAACTAATCTGAATATTAAAATGAAGGTATTTCAACATCATCATTCTCCATTTTCTTAAGACTGCAGTCTCTTACTTAAAGATATAATTTTTCACAGAAAATTAACATTTCTGGATGTAGTGTGCTCGCGTAGACGTTTTTCTTCAACTTATAACTAATTTCTGTCCAACTCTGTATTCATAATATGTGACATACCTGTAAATGACGTTGACTGAGAATGGATCGAACCTTTGTTTAGCATTGTCATTATCTGGCCAACAAATTCTTTTGGAATGAAGTTTGCAAATGGTAATATGTCTGTGCTAATAAGCTGCACAACCTAAAATGAATTAAAAACAATGGTAATTTAAAGTGTCAAAATAATCACTTGTAAAATAGTGATAATTTCACATAAATATGATGTTTAATGCACGCGTGTTTCCATGCTGCTACAAAGATCATTTGTTAAACAAAATCAATGTTTACTTCACAAGCAGAACTTAAAAAAATCTGAATTTAAACTCACTTCAACATCTATGTTCTCATTTTTCTCGAATTCCTGAATGGAGAGATTATCTGGGGGTATGCTGTAAAAGCAAATCACAAGTGTGACAATGTAATGTTAATTAATTAGGTAGCTTGTTAGTAAATGAGCTCCTCATCACTCCAACATGATTACTAAAACAAGGGGATGTCATTTTGACAAACATTTTTGAAACTTTTGTATGAATAAATAATTCAGATTTGGACTAACTACATTTATTCAGCATAAAAATTATGCAGCATGACAACAAGAGCACATACAGAACAAAATCTGAACTTAGATAACTTTATGTCTCAACACATCTTATAATGAACAAATTATTTCTGGTACTGCAGTTACTGTCGTTGGGCAGGCAAATACAACAATATTTGCAGACAGCAAGATTGCATAAAAAGCAAATGAATGAGGGATCAGGCAATCTACTTTCATGATACAAGTTGGTTGGCTAGTTAGCTAGCTAGCTAGCAAGAGTAACAGGAAAATTTTCTTCTCTTTTCTGACTAGGGACATGGGATCTTCTATATCTTAGCTAACAGACAGAATGTTAGGTCAACACTGAATACGAAACAGGCTGTCTTCCCTCAACAACTGCAGCAAACATGGCAACCCGAGTCACATGCTCAGGAGTGGAACTTAAAACACACAACATTCTCACTTAGGCAAGTATCCTAACAAAGGAGCTGAGCTGATATGGCACAATTCTGAGATACAACTGAACCACTGATAAGATGTTTAGATGAAGTGTTTCTCACTCTAGTTTATTCAGATGATTCATCATTGCATAATTCACCATGTTACATTTGGAATAACTAATAATACTAGAAACATAAGATCTGTAAAAGACAACTCAATTTGAAATAGATTTTTCATGCACCTTTTTGTAAACAAGAAGTCTTCAAATGTGTTGGCTAGTTCTGGCCACATGGTATCAAATTTTTTTGAGGAAGCATGTTGCCTTGCAACGGGAAGTCCAATTGAGAGTATTTTAAGAAGAGAGGAAACAGCCATTTTCCACGTCGTTTCAGAGGGGCAGGCATACTTTAGACTGAGTGGTATCCTCAGTGTCTAAAGAAGAAAAAGTGAAAGTGAAGGATTTCTGTCGCCAAATATAATCCACACCAATAGATTATTGCAGGATATTTCATGCTGCAAATCCAATATATTCTTGATTTATTTTTAAAAAACCCAAAACTACAACATAAAAATTCATCGAGCAGACCTCTGCTGGGGAAATAAACACTTTTTGACTCTGACTACCATGAAACCTAATTCTGTTATGTATACCTCAGTCTAGTAAAGGTCTTTATTCTGACCCAATAAAGATGTCTGTGACGCACGTTTAGTACACTGGTACTTGCATGTGATTCTTCCCATGTCTGACACCATTTATCAAATTCATTGATGTCTGGGATTGCTACCATAGCAGAAAGATTTCCTTACTGCATTTTGTGAGATAAATTCAAAGCTTATTTCTTGTAGACAGATTTATGATTTTTCTATCCACAACACACATATGTAATCTTCTGCTCCTGAGAGTATGCAAGAAACTGTGGCCAATTTTGAACAGTGGGGCTGATGCTATTAAGAAAAGTGCCATGATAGATAACTTAAAGTATATCTTTTTGTGTTACAGGAATAAGGTGTTAATCCCATCAGTTCTTAGTAGACTCAAGGATACGGGGCCAGTTGGCTTAATTGGCTTGATAGCTGGTTTTGCAATGCAGTGTAATGCTAACAGCGTGGGTTCAATTCCTGCACTGGCTCAGGTTACCATGGATTTACTCTCCGGGATTTACTCTCCTTCTCGATCTATGATCTGGCAGGACCATAGTACTTTTTTTTAAAACTACACTCAGGTCCTGAAGGAGAAAGACCAGTGTAAAAGTAGGAGGTGGCGGTGGCATAGTGGAAATGTCATTGGATGAGTAAACCAGAACCCAGGGGATATGGATTTTGAATTCAATGAAGATCTGGACTAGAAAGCTAGCCGAATGGTAATCACTGTTGATTTTTTTTTTGCCTATCGTTTATGGGATGCATGTGTCACTAGCTAGGCCAGTATTTACTGCCTATTCCGAATTGGCAGAGGGGAGTTAAGAGTGTGAATCTAGAGTCACATTTAGGCCAGACTAGGTAAGGATGGCAGATTTCCTTCAGTAAAGGTCTTTATTGAACCAGTTGGGTTTTTATGACAATTGACAGTGATCAAATGGTCAATGTTAGGCTAGCTTTTAATTCCAGACTGACAGTGAATTCAAATCATGTTGGTGTCGTGATAGTAATGAGGTCAGCCAGTGAGCCTCAGATTGAGAGCTCCCTGATTGGGGCTGTTAATCTGGTCCAATCAGGCAGCTCTGGCTGACAGATATAAACAGGAGTGTCAGAGGTTCTGTTCACTCTGAGAGTTGGCTCTGAGGGAGATAGATCAGTGTCAAGGGCTCTCCCCGTATAAATAAAGGGTCACTTGGTGTTGGGATACCGGCCTCTGTGAAATTATTACAATTGGGCTTCAAATCTATGCCCCACTCCTCTCAATACATGAATCTGTGGTGCTGATTGCTACTCCAGTAAGATCACCACTGTAACGTTGCCTCCATTTAATTGTTGTTGTAAAAACACACCTCATTTCAATAGGAAAATCTGCCATCCTTGCCTGGCCCAAGTGTAACTCCAGACCCACAACAGTGTGGCTGACTCTCACCTGTCCTCTGGGCAATTAGGGACAGGCAACAAATACTGGCCTAGCTAGCAATGCCCATAATCCCAATTTAAATAAAAACAAAACTTTATGTCACCAAGTGCCTGACACAATTTTATAGAAATGTGTGCGACAGACAATACATGCAAACTGATTTCACAGCTACAAAAATAGGATCAAAGAATGCAGCAGTCCTACCATCCTACTGGACGTAGGAAGTTATTTCAGAATTTAATCCCAGACTCAAAAATTAGCTCAGCATAACAACCAATAATATCAGAGTTTGAAGTTTCAAAAAAGGCTAGGATTTATTTAAACAGCAACTCAATTAGTTTACAAAATTTTAGAATTTTAATGAAATTTTAAAACCTTATTAAGCTGTGCAATACTTTATTAAGTTGAAAATTACCCTGAAAGACAATTATTTGTTTAAAGATTAGTTAAGGTCATCCTTAATGTGGATCAGATCTAAACTTTCATTATAGGGCACTTAAAGTCAATCCTCAATATAATCATAAATCACTTTACAGTACTGCAGCATAATTTACCTTAATGATTTTCTGAAGGACTTTTTCATTTACCACTGCTTTGTGACATGCTGTCTTCTGATACAGATCCACAACTACTTCAAGGGATTTTTCAGCAAATGGCACATAATTCAAAGCCACCCACTCCGCCTGCAAGAAAATAGAGTTTATGGGATTAAACTGTAAAAATGAGCAAAAATACTAGTAATCTTGCAATTTGAAAGTTGTTTTACAGAGATGTGGATTATCAGTTAATTTTCCTGGTTTGCATGCACAGATCACTGAAAAGATGTAAAGGTAAAAAAATTGATAAAATTGAAATAGGGAAACCTTAACAATTTAAAGTTGCAGTATCGCTGCTTTCCACAATTTTATAATTTGAAGTTAAGGAAGGTAGACATTGGGGATTTAAGTTTGATTCTTATGATGCAAAGACACTGCTCAGTCAAATTACACATTAAGTATCGTGTACGATAAATGATATCTATAATACCTCATATGTATAATTATACTGTTGGTGCCCCAGCTGGAAGCATGATAGTTCATGTAGCTACATCATCAAATGAAATAAAAGAACTCAAGTGATTACTGCCAAAGTTGACTGAGATTAAGGGTCTGTGATAATTGTAAAAGGACTGCCCACAACAAGTGATTTGATGGACTACAGACAAAGTGTATTTACTACATATTCCTTTCAGCCATAGAGATCAGTGACTTTGTTACTAGCCAATTCCAATCTCAATTCCACTCAATCTGAACATCAAAGAGTACAAATTCAGCATCAGTGTGAAGCTACTTCAGTATCACAAAGATATAGACTATAAACTGGAAGGCAAGCCTTGAAATGGTTCACCTAGACACATACCCACACTTCACTTTGATATCATGTCAGCGAACAACTCTGGGATTATTACTGCGTTTGCACAGTTGAAATGTTGGTGCAAAGCATTCACATCGACCTACCAGTTGCAATGTTAGTAAAGTGAATGATACACATTAAACAATGAAATTTGTATTCCAACTGAAGCAGTCTAAAGATGTTCTGATATTGCGTAAGCTAAGACTTTCTACAGTAACCCACCCTTTGTAAGTTTTAGTTAGAAATAACCATTTGCAGGAATTTAATGATGGATAACCTGACTTGCTTTAAGTCATTGAGGTCTGCAGCACAGAAAAAGGCACCAGTATAAACAAGGATCAAACTAATCTAAGATAACAAGGTGTAGAGCTAGATGAGCACAGCAGGCCAAGCAGCGTCAGAGGAGCAGGAAGGCTGACGTTTCGGGCCTAGACTAGGCCCGAAATGTCAACTTTCCTGCTCCTCTGATGCTGCTTGGTCTGCTGTGTTCATCCAGCTCTACACCTTGTTATCTCAGATTCTCCAGCATCTGCAGTTCCTACTATCTCTCAAACTACTCTAATCCCATTTTCCAGCATTTTGCCCACAGCCTTGTGTGCCTTGGCATCATAACAGCACATCTAAATACTTCTGAAATATTATGAGGGTTTGTGCCTCCACACCATGACAAAAAATGAGTTCCAGAATCCTACCACCCTTAAAAAGATATTTCCTCACATCCCCTCAAACCTCCTGCTTTCCTTACCTTGTTAACCAGTTCCCAAAGTTGTTTGTGCTGCCAGCAAACATACGTTTTGTACAAAACCTAACATTACAGTTGTGCTGCCATCAAATCATAAACAAAATTGACCTCTATTGTTGTCTATTTGTGAGAGAACCTTGTACTAGGCTGTCTCAGGAATGGGCACTTGAATTCTCAGTTCATAAATGGCTTGCTTTGTTAGATTTCAAGATCTAATGTTCTTTAAAATGGGACATCACAAATGGATCAAAAACTGGTGAAGACTGGACTAAATCTTTTATTTGCAACCAGTACAATTTCTTAGAATCCTAATTTTCTTTTGCTTGCCAATTATTTACCCTTCTGAAGTTGTTGACTTTCTTTACCCAAAAACCCACTGCTTACACATAAGTGTCAACAACGAACTGAGGCCCAGGCTTATTTTGGAATAGGTGAAAGTCACAGACTCAGAGCAGTGGACCTGTTTGTGAACTGGTAAACTAAAAGGACATTTTAAGAGCGTGTCATAATATTCAGTTGTTAAACTGGAACATGGATTTAAGCTGAAATTTCATTCAAGTTGCTTCATATAAGGAAGGAATGTGTGAAGATGAAACCACATCTGAACAGAGTCTAAAAAGCAGGATTCTTTACTTTATGAGATCAAGGACAATTCACACAGGGTTGCTTCTTTATTTCAATCAGGCCACGGCCATACGTACAGAAGAAAAAAATGAAAAGCTACAAATGCTGACATTCAAATAAATATTAAAATCAGTAAGTATCTGGAAACAGCAAAACTAATTTATAAAAAACTTTCAGTCTGTGTCCTTCAGAGGATAAACAGTTATTTTTAGTAAATTGAAAATAAGTAAATAGATGAATAGATGGGGAAGACTGAACAGATTTCCATTCACACATAAGGAGTTGATCAGTTCTGTAACCTACAAATTGCTTATTAGAAAACCATCAGATGATATAAAAGGTATTTTGTGGGATAATGGAAAAATTGAAATAATATGCAAATATCAAGAAAGATGACCCCCCCCCATAAGAAAGGGGACAAAATTTGAAGAGAAAAAATAAACTTACGAACATAGCCCATCTGAAATGTACATCAAAATCCTAGCACAACAAATTTTGTTCTGTTTCAAAAAATAATCCAACATCACATGCATAGATCCACCAATACCTGTGCATGCCTACTATCCTAGCAAAGATTTTACATTCCCAATTGTCAACTGACCTCCCTCTTCCCAGGTCTATCATGTTTTGCCAGTACCTCCTGCACAGAAGATACAACTAAAGCTCTCGGATTTTGAAGTCATTGTTCAAACCATACAGCTGCAGAATGACGAAGAGAAAGATGATGTGCTGGTGGTGATAATTTTTAAGTTTACCAGCTGGGCAGTAATCTACCACCCTTTTAAAAAAAATAGATGGGTTCTACAATGGTGGGGAATCTGTGCTGCCTAGCTAACTGATAGGAAATTGGAAGTTTGCCTCCACTATTTCCGAACCTGGCTTTCAGCTTGGTTGGAACAGCTCAGCGGGCCAGAGATGGGAAGTAGGGATTTAAATTCAGACAGTGTGCTTTTGAAGTAAAACAGACATGTGGTGCAAAGTGGTCTCGCAATCTGCATATGATATTCTCAGTGTGACAGAGGCCACACAGGGAATGCAGTATTCTATGTTACACAACCAGGTTTCAACCCGGTTGAAGTTAGGAAATAGGAGTTTGGCCTGCAAGCCCTCAAATCTATAAAGATAGAAAAAAAGACAGACTTCTCACAGGACAACACTAAAGGCATAAAACTGTATGGTGGCTGTTGCGCGAGAGAATAGCAGTGCAGATACAACAGATGAAAAACTAAGCAAAATTAGAAGCAGACGTTTCATACATCCATACTTCAAGATGGGTTACTGCAAAGATAGTCATTCTGAAGTCTAGTCACTATGGACCGAAGTCCAATTGTTGCCCCTACCTTTAAAGAACCTCTCCTCTCCTCACTTTTGCCTCTGAGATGAACTGTCTGCAGCTACCTGCTAATCTCTCTCCTGAAAATAGGCCACTTTAACATATACATCTCGACTTAGGACGTATAACTCATTTCTCTTTTCAAATTCATTGCTCCTGTACTTAAAGTTTGAGTTGAGATAGCAATTTATTGAAGTGAATAAATTATTTGATTTCAACTTTGTGAAATCAAAGTGGATTATCAGAAAAAGGACACTGCAGCTTTAAAAGTCAGATAAAACTAGGAAGCAAATAATTTGAGTTAAAGGTAGACCAAAGTGTACTTTGCCATGCGGTTTAGGGCAATCTAATGCAAGTCTGAAAATAACCTACTGAAGGCTTGAAACTTACCGGAGCAAAAAGTTGAATCTATTATACATCCATCACGTACAGAAGCAGCATAAACAGAACAAAAGAAGATAATAATCATTATCAAACTATTTGGAAATGTAAACAAGATGTCATTTTGTTGTATATTTGTTGAAAAATTTAGTAATGCAATTTATTTTGATAAATATTTTGGTAATTTAATTCAAATGAAATGGATGGATTTGAATTTTGTTTAAAACATTTCCCACAATTTGAGTTGATGAGCTTTACAACATTCGTGGCCCATTCAACTTTCAAGCTATGACCTTTGAGAAAAATGACTGGAATAAATAATCGTGACTTGGAATAAAGGTGAGAGAAAGACCAAAGCAATTTTTCCCAAAATGACCAAACTTACGTCAAGCTGAAATCCTGGTGTTCTCCAATGTGTTGCCATATGATGACGCTGCTTGTTTTGACATAATTATTAAGTTCCCTTTTGAGGATTTTATTGCTAGGAGGGAAACTTGATAGTTTTGTCGATTGGAGAAAAGAGGGATTTGTTTATTAAACATCTTTTAATGATGTATTAAGTTTACTCCAACAAAAATATTATCAAAGTTATCAATTTACCCTTTTAAAAAAATTTGTAGACTTCATTCTTTAGAAGGGCACAGGCAATGACAAGAATCTCAAATATGGTGCTTTTCTTGGTTAAGTAATGGTCAAGCCATATGTTGCAACCAATAATTATGGCACCATGATTAAAAATGATGAGTAACAAAATAAAGCTTGTTTTCAAGGGAATTATTTCAGACAGCCTAAAGACGCTCGAATGGAAATGAGAAGAGTCCTATAGCATTAGCTTCAGGGAGAATTCAGATAAGAGCTTACACAGCATAACAATTAACTCAGGTACACAGAAACACATGGATGAGCATAAGAAAGATGAATAAATGGAGGATCATTCAGCTGTATCTGAAAAGAATGTTCAAAGTTACAGTACCACATTTTAGGATGAAAGATTTTTTGAAGATTCCAGGTATATTTTTTGTGCCATCCATGGCATTTCTGTTGAATTAAGTCCCACTCCAAGCACAAAATTCTGGACCTACATTCCAGCGCAATACTTGGAGTTCTACACCATGTAAGGTGTCATTTTTCATTTGGGACATTAAACTGAGGTGCAGGTTACTCCTGCAAATGGTTAAAATGGATGTATTTGCAGTGTGATAGTCTCCAGTGTCCTGGCCAAGATCTATCCCTCAATCAACATCAAAACAAAATCTGGTTATCATATTGCTTTTCATGAGAGCCTGCTGTGCATAAACGAGCTGCCGCATCTCCTATGCGGTTACAAGAGTCATCACATTTATGATATGAAGGGCACTACACAAATAGAAGTTTTCTTTTCTTTTAGCTTTACTACTTAATTCATGTTGTCCATAAAGCAGAAAGACAATACTGGCATCAATCTGGTTACGTTAAGTTTAGCTGTTGTGTTTTGGAAATTCTATTCATCACCACTCTTGGGACAACAGCAATGTTTATTCAACAACCGATTTAAGTAGTGACCTTCAGGATGTATACGTTGGGGAAAATTTTCCTCAAGTCAAATATTTAAGGTAAAATACGGAGTCAAAGTGTCAGGAAATGACAAAATTGAGAAGGAAATTGAAGGGGAAAGAGGCAAAATATGACTGCAGTTGGGAGATGGCATGCAGTTTTAACAATAAATGCGAATTCTGCATGCCTGGCAGTCAATGCTGTTGCCAGGCTGGACAGGCATGGGAACACGCAGCAGTCTGTATGGCACTGCACAAGACTTGTTCTGTAATAAACGTGTGCACAGGTTCACACTATTTCTGGACATACAGATATCAACAGGTTCATAACAACTAAATTTTAAAGGTAACATTGCTGTTAATGCCAAAAGGCTCAATACAACAGTGAGCATAGGCTCTCTGATGTGGGTTTGGTGCTTTTATTTTGACTGCCAAGGAGAATTCAAAAAACCTACCGTCTCCCTGCTGGATAACGTTGATTCTCTCTCTCAGCCCGACAAGTTATACCTAATTGCTGCCCCTGAGTTTGGCTTGAAAATGTTAACAATTACTGTAAAAACATCATTGTTCTTCCTTACATGACAATAACTTACTAATTAAATGTCTTAAACATTATAGCTAATACAAGAGCAAAACAAAATAGTGCCTGAAGTTTTCTAACTGTATGTGTTCACAAGTCCGATATTGAGACATATTATTCACATGTTTGGCAAAGGAACTGATATAGTATTGATAATTTGGCATATCCTCTGTATACATTCCAAAGAAAGAACTGCTGGTAGTTATATTTCATAATGTCACATTTTGTACTTTAAATGCACATCAGAATTTGATGTTAATTTTTGGCAACTGGTGTCTTTAGAAAGCTAAAATCATCCAATTTAAGCAATAGTGCTAAAGCAAAAGCACTATCAGCTGAGAACTTCATCTTTGGTTTCATGCCCAATTACTTAGCACTGTATAAAATCTCACTAGTCTGAAAATGAGCACATGGGCTTTTCTTCCAAACATGAGATGACCTCATACACTGCTCATTTCCTCCTCCAACTGGGTTAAACGCTTTTACAGCCCTTAGATACTACATAGTAACTTCTGGAGATTCATGCATGTTTGAGCATACTGGCCACATATCTGCAATAACACTGGTTTATTGTTGATTTTCTCATGTAATATTTTGTTCTATAGCAATTTCACAGGTGTAGGTAGCCTCTCAAGTAACTCAGCCAGGTGAACTTCATGGATAAACCCAAACAGAATGTGTTGTAGTCTGTTCAGCCAAAGGCATGACATGCACTTTAGTTGGCACTTAATGCCCATAAAGCTGAACATCTGAATTGAGATGGGAAAGGGAGTCACCTGATGGTGTTCCCAATTGTAATAATTAGCCAATTATCCCTGATCTTACCCAAACTAATTCTGCTCTTCAATCAACTCAGCTGAGTCTAACCAACTCTGAGAATACTGGAGATGTTTGAATGTACTAGGCACATGATTACAAAAGAGTGGCAATCACAACTGAAAGTCCTGGCCTGAAATTTATTGGACTGCATGCTACATGCACCTACTCACTCAATGCAGGTTTAAAAAAAACTTTGTTATCAGCTATCATTCTCCTTTTACTTCATTTGCCCTGAATAAATAACAGAGGCATTGAGAATGCCATCATCAGGTTCAAGCTTGCCAGATTCAAAACTAAACAGACATAATAAATGTGTTGAACAGGTCAGACAGCATCTGAGGAACAGGGAATTCAATGTTTTGGGCCAAAACCCTTCGTCAGGTCTGGGCAGGGGGGTAAGCCCAGAAATAAATAGAGGGAGGGCGTTGGGATGGAGATAGGTGGAAAAAGGTAGGGGTTTATTGTGGTTGGTCGGGGAAAGGTGGGACAGATAGGTGAGTTGGAAGAACCATGGACTGGTTTACGCAACACCTGTGCTCTGCATGCACCAACCAACCCAACCTTCTGGTTGCCATCGACTTTAACTCTCCCTCCCACTCCCCTGGTGACATGTCCATCCTTGGCCTCCTTCACTGTCAGAGTGAGGCCAAATGTAAACAACACCTGATATTTCGCCTTGGGACCTTATAGCCCAAAGGCCTGAATATGGAATTCACCAGCTTCAAAATCTCTCTAGTCCCAACCTGTCCATCTTTCGACTCACCTATCTGCTCCGCCCTTCCCACTGACCAACCACAATAACCCCCTACCTGCATCCACCTATCTCCATCCCACTTACCCTCCCCCCAGCCCCACCACCCCCCTCTATTTATTTCTGGGCTTCCCTCCCCAGGCCTGACAAAGGGTTTTGGCTTGAAGACTTCCCTGTTCCTTGGATGCTGTCTGACCTGCTGTGCTTTTCCAGTTCCACATTTATTGACTCTAGCTTCCAGCATCTGCAGTCCTTACTATTTCCAAATGTGGTTGAGATCAAGTGTTCCCTGTGAAATGGTAAAACTAAACGTCAGAGGATTTTGTTGTACAATTAAAGTCATGCAATTGTTGCCATTGTACATTCTGAGCAATCATGTTTCTAATTACAAAAGATAAGTGTATTTTTTTGAAGGCAAGTATTTGCCCGATTACCTGATTAAACTTTGCATTTGCTATATTTTTTGTTTCTAGTTTTCCATATGTTGGCGCCTTGCAGGAAAACTCGACAAATGAAAGCAACTGGTCAAAGATTGCTGGGTACATGATCTGCATGTCTTCCGGCCCTACGCAAATTGCCTAAAAGTGGGAGAGAAACAAGTTAGAAGGATGTTGACAGAAAGTCAAATACGTCATTTCACATTTCATGTGTGCAGTTTTCTCTGCTTCATTCTTGGATGCAGACATTACCGGCAAAGAGACAGGCCGTTAACGCTGACCCCTAACTGCTGTAGGTAGCTGGTGTGTTCCTTTCTCGAATGGCAACAGTTATTTAGGGTTCAACAGAATGGAGCAGCTTGCTAGGCAATTTCAGAAAGCTACAAACTGAACTACACTGGTGTGGGATTCCAGTCACAAATTAGGTGGTTAACAACAGTTTTTCTTCAATCAAGGACATAAGTCAACTAGGTAGCTGTTTGTAGTGACTTTATAATGGCTTCACGGTCACTTTTACTGATGGCAGATTGTTACGTTTCTAGTTTCTAAAGAAAAGCTGTTCAAATTTTCAAGCTGCCACGGTGAGATCTGATTCATGTTTATTAAATATTAGCTCACCCCTCTGGATTATAATTCAAATTAACACTAAGTGTCATACAAAATTAACAGAGATAATATTTAACAAAGAGGTTGCAACCAGAAAGAAAATAAATTATATTTTCTATACAATTTTCTGTTCATTCAGTGACAATTGAACTTTATGAACCCATTACTAAATTAGAAATTAGTAAATCAGAAAACTGGCTCTGGATTGTTTGTTTGCTCTTGGCACAAATGTAGTAATTTTCCATGTTTATCCATCCCCAATGAATTGTTCTGTTTTAATAGTGCTGTCCACAGTGCCTAACTAACAAAAGATGTTAGACGCCTGTTTTTATTCCAAAGTGTTTGAGCCCATGAGACCAAAAAAGATGATCATGTCCAACAGAGATTAAATCTTATTTACTCTTCTCAGTGTAAATACTACTCAGCGAAAGTGTGCAGGTGAGAAAACTTGGTTAAAAGTCTGCATTACTAATTGGTTGTAAAATTGATCACGAAAGCCAATATGCTTTTAAAGTTCAAGTGGTAAATGGTATTTACAGAGTGAACATATAAGAGGGCTCCTCCTGCACTCTCCACTCAGAACAATAAATATGTGTTTTGTGTGTCTGATGTCCACCATTTCAAATCTCCATCCACATCTCCACAGGAAATAATGGTAAATTTAAAATAAAAAGACTCCACTTTCCCCAATTTATCTTCTTTTAGCATAGGAAGAATACAAAAATGTCACTCCACGGACTGTCTGCATCAGCCCTGGTTCTACACCCAAAATGGTTGTGATTCACTTGTGACAGTGAATGCTGGGTGGCAATTCTAAAGACCAGATGATTCTTTCAGCTGATCTCAGCTAACTCATTTCAGATCTAGGGGTTGAACCTGGTACCTTACTAATCTTCACCTTCAGTTACTCATTGGTTAAACTTGTTTAGCTATTAAGGACATTTGGTGGCAGTAACATGCGTGCTATCGATTATCTTCAGTATTGCCTTCTTTAGTTCTTTTGTGAATGGTCAAACTTTAGATTCTTGCTTCAAACGAAAATGCTCCTGGGCAAGGAATGCTCAGCAGGCTTTTTATGTTAAAGTGAAATTACACCATAAAAGAATTGAAGTGCTGTTTATTTCGTGAAGTTCAGTCCCCAAGAGATCAATTTTAAACCTCATTTTCAATCCACAGATTTGTAAACTAAATATAATGAAAAGTAGAATTTCTAACACCGAATACACACATTTCATTTAAGTTATATCAGTATTTCAACACTCATGAATTCAAGGCAAACAACTGGGCTCTTCATTTTCCCAAAACAGTGAGTAAAACATGTCTTCATCCTCCTCTTTTTTTTAAAAAAAATCAATTCTACTGTTCCCAAGCATGTCCACAAACAGACTCCTAGCAGAGATCGCTGGATAGCAATCAGCTCCTGAACTGGAGGAGATATAAACCATGAAGCTGATCCTTGCTATTGCCCAGAGAGAGGAGAAAACTTCAGTTTCTGAACAAGCTGCAACTTTCACTCCCTAATAATGCACTGAGTATGTCCATTGAGCTAAGAGGTCAGTGAAGATTTAGATGAGTCAGTTGCTTATACGGGGAGCTAGAGTTGGTAGGGAAAAACTGGTCAGCTTTTCCTCTCTTAATCACTATAATCTGATACAACCGAGAGAGAGAGAGCGGGAGAGAGTGAGCAAGCGAGAGAGAGCGAGCGAGCGAGCGAAGAATGAAACCAAAATCAATTTCAAGCTCTTTGAACAGAGGAGCTCAACAGTCTGAGATACATTTACTGAAGATGCATTAGAATATGATAAATATTTTAAACTGGTAACCTGAGCACTACAGTCTAACGTGCCCAATATATAAATGAAATATTCGTTACTGTCTTACATTTCTGTTTAAAAAGAACACAAAAATATACTAGTTTTTTTATTCATTCGTGGGATGTGGGTGTCAATGGCTCACCAGTATTAATTGTCCATCTCTAGTTGCCCTTGAGAAGGTGGTGGCGAACTGCCTTCTTGAACCGCTGCATTCCTCCTGCTGTGGCTTGACCCACAATGCTATCAGGGAGGGAATTCCAGAATTTTGACCCAGCGACAGTGAAGGAACACCGATATATTTCCAAGTCAGGATGGTGAGTGGCTTGGATAGGAACTTGAAGATGGCGGTGTTCCCATGTATTTGCTGCCCTTATCCTTTTAGATGGAAGTGGTCATGGGTTTGGAAGGTGCTGGCTGAGGATTTTTGGTGAATTTCTACAGTGCATCTTGTAGATAGTACACACTGCTGCTACCGAGCGTCGGTGTTGGAGGGAGTGAATGCTTGTGGATGCGGTGCCAATCAAGTGGGCTGCTTTGTCCTGGATGGTGTCAAGCTTCTTGAATGTTGTTGAGGCTGCACTCATCCCGGCAAGTGGGGAGTATTCCATCATACTCCAGACTTGTGCCTCATAGATGATGGACAGGCTTTGGGGAGTTAGGAGATGAGGTACTTGCCGCAGCATTCCTAGCTTCTAACCTGCTCTTGAACCACTGTGTTTATGTGGCGAGTCCAGTTGAGTTTTTGGTCAATGATAACCCCCAGGATGTCGATAGTGGGGATTCAGTGATGGTAACACTTGAATGCCAAGGGCTGGTGGTTAGATTGTCTCTTATTGTTGATGCTCATAGCCTGGCATTTGTGTGGCACTGATGTTACTTGCCACTTGTCAGCCCAAGCCTGGATATTGTCCAGAACTTGTTGCATTTGACCATGGACTGTTCCAGTATCTGAGGAAGCATGAATGATGCTGAACATTGTGCAATCATCGGCGAACATCCCCACTTCTGATCTTATAATGGAGGGAGGGTCATCGAGGAAGCAGCTGAAGATGGTTGGGCCGAGGACACTGTTCTGAGGAATTCCTGTAGAGATGTCCTGGAGCTGAGATGACTGACCTCCAACAACCAGGACCATCTTTCTATGTATCAGGTATGACTCCAATCACTAGAGAGTTTGCCTCCTGATACCCATTGGTAGGGATCCTTGATGCCACACTCTGTCGTTTGCAGCCTTAATATCAAGGGCTGTCACTCTCAACTCACCTCCGGAATTCAGCTCTTTCGTCCATGTTTGGACCAAGGCTGTAATGAGGTCAGGAGCTGAGTGGCCCAAACGAAACTCAAACTGGGCGTCACTGAGCAGGTTATTGCTGAGCAGGTGCTGCTTGATAGTGCTGTTGATGACATCTTTGATCACTTTACTGATGATCGAGAGTAGATTGATGGGGCAGTAATTGGCTGGGTTGGATTTCTCCTGCTTTTTTATATACAGGACATACTTGGGCAATTTCCCACATTGTCAGGTCGACACCAGTGTTGTAACTGTACTGGAACAGCTTGGCTAGGGGAGTGGCACGTTCTGGAGCACAAGTCTTCAGTACTATTGCCAGAATGTTGTCAGGGCCCATAGCCTTTTTGCAATATCCAGTGTCTCCAACCATTTCTTGATATCACATGGAGTGAACTGAATTGCCTGAGGCCTGGTATTTATAATGCTGAGGACCACTGAAAGAGGCCAAGATGGATCATCCACATGGCACTTCTGGCTGAAGATTGCTGCAAATGCTTCAGCCTTATCTTTTGCACTGATGTGCTGGGCTCTTCCAGAATTGAGGAAGGGGATATTTGTGCAGCCTCCTTCTCCAGTGAGTTGTTTAATTGTTCACCACCATTCATAACCGAATGTGGCAGGACTGCAGAGCTTAGGTCTGAACTGTTGGTTGTGGGATTGCTTAGCTCTGTCTATCACTTGCTGCTTATGCTGTTTGGTGTGCAAGTAGTCCTGTTTGGTGGCTTCACCAGGTTGATACCTCATCTTCAGGTATGCCCGGTGCTGCTCCTGGCATATGCTCTTGCATTCTTCACTGAACCAGGATTGATCCCCTGGCTTGATAGTAATGACCGAGTGGGCCATATGCCGGGCCATGAGGTTACAGATTGTGCTGGAGTACAATTCTGCAGTTGTTGATGGCCCACAACACCTCATGGATGCCCAGTCTTGAGTTGCTAGATCTGATCAAAGTCTGTCCCATTTAGCATGGTGATAGTGCCACACAACACGATGGACGTTATTGTCAATGTGAAGGTGGGACTTTGCCTCCACAAGGACTATGCTGTGGTCTCTCTTACCTATACTGTCATGGACAGATGCAATGCACGTGGCAGATTAGCGAGGATGAGGTCAAGTTTGTTTTTCCCTCTTCTTGGTTCCCTCACCACCTGCCGCAGACGCAGTCCAGCAGCTGTATTCTTTAGGACTCGACCAGCTCGATCGGTAGTACTGCTACTGAGACATTCTTGGCAGTGGACATTGAATTGCCCCATCCAGAGTACATTTTGTGCCCTTGCCATGCTCAGTGCTTCCTCTAAGTGTTCAACATGGGGGAGTAGCAATTCGTCAGCTGAGGGAGGACGGTATGCAGTAATCAGCAGGAGGTTTCCTTGCTCATGTTTGACCTGAAGCCATGAGACTTCATGGGATCCAGAGTCAAGGTTGAGGACTCCCAGAGTAACTCCCTCCCAACTGTAAACCATCATGCCGCCACTTCTGCTGGGTCTGTCCTGCTGGTGAGACAGGACATATCCAGGAACGGTGACGGTGATGTCTGTGACATTGTCAGTAAGGTATGATTCTGAGAGTATGACTATGTCAGATTGTTCTTTAACTAGTCTGTGAGGCAGCTCTCTCAATTTTGGCACTATCCCCCCCAGAGGTTAATGAGGAGTACTTTGCAGAGTCGACAGGGCCGTTTCTGCTGTTGTCTTTTCCGCTGCTGAGGTCAATGCCAAGTAATCCGTCTGGTTTCATTTCTTTGAGACTTTGTAGCAATCAGTACAACTGAATGGTTTGCTAGACCATTTCAGAGGGCAATTGAGAGTCAACCACATTGCTGTGGGTCTGGAGTCGATGTAGGTCAGACCAGGTGAGGATGACAGATTTCCTTTCCTGAAGGACATTAGTAAACCAGATGGGTTTTTCAGACAATCAACAATGGTTTCATGGTGATCAGTAGATTCTTAAATACAGATTTTTTTTTTTTTTTAAAACTGAAATCAAATTCCACCATCTGCCATGGTGGGATTCGAACCCAGGTCCCCACAACATTAGATGAGTTTCTGGATTAATAACAAAAGGCCATCGCCTACGTTTCTGCTTTTCATCTTAACTGCTTTCAGCAGCAACAACACTTTTCTATAACAGAGTTTTCATTTGAAAACTAGGGGCCTAATTTTACCAAATTCAAAGCCCATTCACCTATAAATAGTTAAAAATTGATTTGACAGATCCGAGACCTAGCTGGTAACACTTGTGAATTCTTGACAAATTAGCAACGAATCAAATTGAAAAATTAAACACTTGCACTTATTATCAGCAAGAAAACAGCTAAAGACACCCAAATGTCATACCAGCTGCCCACCTTTGTCCATTCAATAGAATGAACTTTATAATCTCATTTTAATGCATTGATTCTGGATCCATGGCTAATATCCCATCAAATGCATAAGAAGCATCCTAATGGAATCACCCCAATGGAGAGAAGATTGTTTCCTTTTGTCAATTGGGCTTATTAAATTAAAAAAAGTCAGTTATAAATATTCAATGAAACAAATACCATAACATATCAGCGTAAGTCACTAAAATCAATCTAAACCAAGCTTACATTACAAGTAACTGGCCCCTTGAGATACTTGACGCAGGAATTTTTGTACGTCACAGCACTGCAACAATATACAAAATCTATGCAAATAATTCTGCCATTTATTACCAATTTATGAAATATTAAATTTGTACTCATTGCAAATGTCTTGAACACTTGGTTAGTGACAGATTAAAATTTCCATAGTCCTATAGGTCCGTAGGGCTGCTCTCTCATTATAGAGAGATAGCTGGTGGTGATTTAACTGAGGGTCACCGTGCCTCAGGCGAGGGAAGGGTTTGGGAAGGACAGTCCTTCATGGTAACCTCAGCTGGTGCAGGAACTAACCCAAACACTATTGCAACCAATTAGTGAAGTTACAACGACACCTTTATGCTGAAGTACTTCTAATTGCTAAATCATCTAATGGATCAACTACAATCCCAGTCAAAACTGCTCATCTCCAACTGCCGTCGTGACATCAATCGCCTCAACCTCTCCACCCCTCTCACCCACTCCAACCTCTCCCCCGCAGAACGTGCAGCCCGCCGCTCCAATCCCAACCTCACCATAAAACCCGCGGACAAGGGAGGCGCAGTTGTAGTATGGCGCACTGACCTCTACATCGCCGAGGCCAGACGCCAAATCTCCGACACCTGCCCCTACACCTCCCCCCTCACCCCCATCCCAGGCCCCAAGAAGACTTTCCACATCAAACAGATGTTCACCTGCACATCTGCTAATGTGGTATACTGCAACCGCTGTTCCCGTTGTGGCCTCCTCTACATCGGGGAAACCAAGTGGAGGCTTGGGGACCGCTTTGCAGAACACCTATGCTCGGTTCACACTAAACAACTGCACCTCCCAGTCGCGAACCATTTCAACTCCCCCTCCCATTCCGCAGACGACATGTCCATCCTGGGCCTCCTGCAGTGCCACAACGATGCCACCCGAAGATTGCAGGAACAGCAACTCATATTCCGCTTGGGAACCCGGCAGCCCAATGGTATCAATGTGGACTTCACAAGCTTCAAAATCTCCCCTCCCCCTACTGCATCCCAAAACCAGCCCAGCTCGTCCCCGCCTCCCTAACCTGTCCTTCCTCCCACCTATCCCCTCCACCCACCTCAAGCCCCACCCCCATCTCCTACCTATTCGCCTCATCCCGCCCCCTTGACCTGTCCGTCCTCCCTGGACTGACCTATGTCCTCCCTACCTCCCCACCTACACTCACCTTTACTGGCTCCATCCCCGCCTCTTTGACCGGTCTGTCTCCTCTCCACCTATCTTCTCCTCTATCCATCTTCTATCCACCTCCCCCTCTCTCCCTATTTATTTCAGAACCCTCTTCACCTCCCCCATTTCTGAAGGAGGATCTAGGCCCGAAACATCAGCCTTCCTGCTCCTCTGATGCTGCTTGGCCTGCTGTGTTCATCCAGCTCTACACCTTGTTATCTCTTGCTCTTACAACCCATTTGTTTTACTTGGTGTTGGACAAAAAAATACAAGTTTTGCCTTGGTATAACCTTTCTCATTAAGTGACATACTAGACTGATACTTGTGTATTCAAGATGTGGAGGTGCCAGTGTTGGACTGGGAGGGAAAAGGTCAGAAATCACACAAAACCAGGTTATAGTCCAACAGGTTTATTTGAAAACACAAGCTTTTGGAACCTCGCTTCTTCTTCAGGTGTTAGTGAGAGGGATGGCATCAGACATATAATTTACATGTAAAACATCTAAAAGATCACACAACTGATGAGCTATTAAATCTTTAATCATTTAGAAGGTTTTAACTGATTAATATGTATATGTAAATCCCCAAATATCTTTCAAGTGACTGCCCTGAGAGAACTAAGGATTTTATCAGTGTAAAGAAGAGGTGACATTTTAGGTTAGACAATGCACGTTAGGTGTGAGAATCTGTTTGTGCTTTGGTTTGGAGTTAGAATGGTTTTATTTCTAAAGTAGGATTTAATAGCATCTTAGGTTTGTTTAACACATCATCAGTTGTGTGACCCTTTGTTCATTTACTTTTCAATCCTGTGTTTGATGCCACCTCTCTCACTAACACCTGAAGGAGGTGCGAGGCTCTGAAAGCTTGTGTTTTCAAATAAACCTGTTGGACTATAACCTGGTGTTGTGTGATTTCTGACCTTGTGTATTCAAGGAATGTATTTACGCACCAGGTTTACAATGGGTATTTTTGCTACCTACTCCATTAACATTATTATGCCTTCAAATCGAGCGTAAAATTTTTAATACCTTCTGTAGGACATCTAGACTTATCAGCACTGCTTCTTGTAGACTGGTCAGCACTGCTTCAGTGTAGGATGGTAGAATGAATGGAGAGGCATCAGAGCTGATTGGAACTGACACAGCACCATGCAATATCACACCCAATTTCTTCAGGTCCTCCATGCTGAAGCCTGACTTGATGTGCTGGTACAGAGCCGGGAAGATCTGCACAAGTGCTGTGAGGAATGGCTGACTAGGAATAAAGAACAGCTTATCACAGGTAGTCGGTGGCTTTGTGCTTTCCAAACCTATCTTGTACCAGGTATTCCATGCAGCCCACCACAGTGCAGAATCCTCAATCTCATCTACTGCTGCACTCAATTCAGCTCCGATATATCTTCCCAGCTTTTCTCCAAGTGAATCTGTCCTGGATAAGGTTCGAGGTGGGGGGATCAGCGGTCCCACAAAAACTGGCATATTAACACCAGATAGACCTTCTGACTTGTCAGAATCTTTTACAGGGGTCACAATTTGTAAAATTTCCTGACAGCTCTTCAGGGCTGCCAGTGAAACTTCATTGTTCTTGCTCAGTGCAGCTGACTGGATATGATCCAACAATACATCCCAGGCTTTTGAAAAGTCCCCTGCAACAAATCAAAATAGACATTATTAACAAGTTCCAAGGTTTTCAGCTACGCAACACTAAAAACAATATAGACATACACTTTGAGAGATTTTGGCAAATAATATTACCCAAAGACTGCAATAAGTATCTCCTGGTGTTAAATATTCTAGCTACTCCAGCCAATGTTAAAACCCATGTCTCTGCCCATTGTTTCTCAGCAGTGTCCCTAGAATGATGAATAAGAATATTTCCACCACCAGACTCAATCTTCTCTTTGTCAGCTGTTGTGGATGATTCTCTAACCCGATCCAAAAGGGGAAATAAAACCTAATATGAAGCAAGAACAAACACGATTAAGTACAAATATCAGTCCGAATGAAATCCATCTCAGAAATTCCAGAGCAAACTGTACCTACTTATAAGCAACAACAAAAACAGAAATTGCTGGAAAAGCTTAGCAATTCTGGCAGCATCTGTGGAGACAAATCAGAATTAATGTTTCGGGTCCAGCGACCCTTCCTAAGCACATCGGAAAACTTCATTGCTCATTTTGGAAGCTCGTACTTTCTGTTGAATGCGACACTTTTTTTTAAATGCCCTCAGTTTTACTGCAAAGTAAGGCAAATTTTCTTTGAAAGCAAAGTCTAATGTCATAGCATTTTCTTTAGCGTTTCTCTTATTGGATAGTTTCAGGGTGAAACATACATTTCCACAGTTTGCGAATCAACACTTTTCTCACGAACACAGTGAAAAACTGTGGAACCTGGAGATCTCAAATAAAGGAAGATAGAAATGTCAAAGAAGAGTCTCATTGACTAGAAACTTTATTTTTTTCTCTCCGTGGCTGCCAGGCCTACTGAATTTCTTCAGCACTTACTGCTTTAATTACTAAATATTCTAGTCTTAGGCTTGCTGTTGTACATTAACACTAGCAACACCACTTGATTAATAGAGCTGCCTAAATACACCTGGATATCAAGGTGTTCAGGAAAGGAAAGAGAAGTATGTTTTTAGGAGAACACTATGCCAGGCAGAGAGGATGTCAAGTGCCAAGGAGAGAAACGCTGGAGGTATAATTACGTTCCAGGCTGAATTCTATTGCCACACATTGAACAAAAGTTCAGAAGTTTATTCGCTGATTTTTGAATTTTGTGTTCCAGACTAAAATATTATAGGTTTAAAAAAAAGTGCATGAATAGCTTTACACTCAGCTTAGAACATTCTGTAGACATTTTTTTCCAAGAGAAAGTTTGTGAGATAACTCACACTGCTTGACATTTACTAATTTAATAACATCTGATCTAACTTTGAAGGAGTTGGCAGTCCTACTGGCCTGAAGTTTAGGAAACAATGGGGATACTGAGCAGGGAGACAGAAGGACCAGTGTGAAAGGCAGGGGGCACCAGTGTGACTCAGTGTAGATCTGAGCTGAGGAGAAGCAAAGTCTTAGAAGGGGCTGCATAGAACCTGTCCCAAGTTCAAAGTATCACAGTGACCAGACACAAGTCAGGATAAAGGCAGGAAAAGAAACAGAGGAACACAGCATGGCAAGAGGTTAAAAAAAAGAGTCAGGGAAGGAACAATTTATGAAACTGTCAAAGGGAAATGAGAGGCTGAGATGTGAAACTGTTATTCAGCTAAAATCCTTGAGATGAAGGTGCCATGTGACCCACCAGACCTGGAATATTAACCAGTACAAATAATTATTTTCTGGCTTGTTTAGTACCTTCCACAACACTGTATGCCAGGTGGCATGCTGTAGTAAAGTACCGTGCGCACCAACTGTAGAGAACAAGGTCTGTCCTCCACTCTTTCGGACAGCTGGCCTTGGATCCACACACAGTTCTCCCAGCTTTGAGTAAAGGCACAACCAGAGACAGTCAAATGGAGGAGCAGGATGGAACGGCCGATTTAAAGGGACTCCCTTTTCCTCTGCCTGTTTCTGCAGCAGAGCTTCCTCCTTGTCTAGTTCCTTCTCAATGGTCTCTCCTCGTTGGAAGAAATAGTCTGAGATGTTCCACTGCCGGAAAAGCACACAGAGGAATGTTCCAAAGATTGAGAAATATTGTAAAAGTAACTGATTATTTTGCTTACCAGAGACCTACCGAAGTTCTACATTCTAAAATTTTGAAGGAAATCAAAATATGGTATAAACTCTCATTTTTGCTTAACAAAGTGCCTTTCTTGTGGGAATACAATATGAATAATTTTAAATGCATAATTATCCTAACATGGAAACAATTAGTGTAGTTCAGTTTCAAAGAACCTGATTCATTTAGCTGATCTTGTAATAGAATAATGCTTGAAGTTGTTAACAAAAAGCAAGCATTCAATAAGTAACAATCTCTATAATAAAACAATTAAATCTTTATAATGAACTGAATTTTGAGACAGAACAGTGTGTTCCGGATATGAAGATGCACCCAACAAGATATCAGTGGAGACTATTCTCAGCTGTAACTGAGGAAGCATGAAACTAGATAAGATTAACAGCTCCCAATGCCAAAAGCAACAAGAACTTCAAAGTCAGTTAATGATTAAATAGTAAACTGCAATCATAAAACCAGATATTTACAAGGTTGCAATGTTAGGGAGAAAAGACAATCAGCCCTGCTTCAAAGTAATGGCTTAGTATCATTGTTATCATCTAATTATTGTTTTAAAAATGAATATTTTACTAATCAATGAGGTAATAAGTTGCAATACAGTATCTTAGAAAGCTAATTCTAGTTTTGTCCTATTCAAACAACATCAAAGACAAGTTTATCCAAACTAAATTTAAAATATACTGTGAAGCAAAGTGGACAACTTGCATTGAACCACAGACGTTGCATCAAAGAATTGGTATTGACTTTGACCATTTTAGCTGCACTGAAACGCAGATACAAAGGTTGGAGTGCCACATGAGAAAAGCACTGATAGCACAGGAAAACACTGGTGTGATGTTTATGTTCTACACAAGGTTCTGTCAGCCCACTACCATGATCCCCATCAACAGATCCTTCTGTCAGCCCACTTCCATGATCCCCATCAACAGATCCTTCTGTCAGCCCACTACCATGATCCCCATCAACAGATCCTTCTGTCAGCCCACTACCATGAACCCCATCAACAGATCCTCTTAATTCTTCACTCTCGCATCACGTGTCCCCTGCCGTGCACTTTTGTGTCACATTGAAGGACAAAATTCTTACCAGTTATAACAACTTACCAAAAGACCTATTGAGGTCAAACTGATGTTGAGCTCCTGATTCTGAAGCCCAAAGCTGCCAGCTACATCCACAACAATCTGAAGGCAGGTACTGGGCATGGTGGGTAGAAAATCAGTCACCACTAACTGCAAACATTGGAATGCTGTGCGGATTAGAGATTCTCTGCAAAGAGTAGTAAGAGTCATTATTAATCAAGCGAAACCATTCCAGCAGAGGAAGGAGAACACTTCGGAAAATATTTAATGAGAATAAAAACCAAGTATTAAAACCCTGCCCTAATTAAATTTATATATTAATTACATCTGCACCCTCTAGAAGTATTCTTATGGATTAGAAAGTACTAAATCAATCTCATGGTACATTAAGGCAAGTTTAGACTTAGAAAAAAAAGGAGCATTTTCAGCTTCTGAAGTCTTTCCAACAACAATTAGCATTTATATAGTTTTTTTAACATCTTAAAACACCCCAAGGTGCTTTGCAGGAATGGAATCAGATTATGGGACAAGTGACTACACTCCAGATCAAGTGTTTGGCTCTTTTCAGTAAAGTGTCCAAAAACCTGCATATAGCAGTCTTAAATGCAAGTTAAATTAACATTGGATATGTTTTGCTTCATAGTGGTCAGTTTTTATGGACCAGTTTCAGATTTCTGCAGTTTCATACGTCTTACACTTGTGTTTCAGAAGACTAACAGTTACTTGGATAACTTGATTTTAAAAACAAAATCACAAAAAATAAAACAAAACGCATTCTACCTGCCACTACAAAAGGACAATAGTGATGGTGATGGAAATAGATTTTAAAGTTCATATTTGTAAACTAACACGAAAAGCAAACCATGATCACTAACACGCTTCTGAGCAAAGCATATACTTAGAGTCATTTACAACAGGACGCCAATCAAAACCATGCCAACTTCCTGCAGAGAAATCCAGTCAGTCCCACAAACCTGCTTGATCTTGTAGCACTGTAGTTTATTTTCTCAAGTGCTCACCTAACTTATTTCTGAAATCATTGATTATTTCCACACCAACCATCTTTGAGGACAGCAATTTCCAGGCCATTATCATGGGCTACGTAAAAGAAGTTCCTCCTCACATCACCTCTTGCCAAAACCTTAAATCTGTTTCCCCCTACAGCTTATACTATCAGCTCAGAGGAACAACTTTTCCCGGTGTTTTTTGTCAAACCAATCATAATATTACATGTTTCAAACAAAACTCCCATTATAATCTCCTTTGCTCCAAGAACAAAGCTAGCTTTTCCAACCTAACCTCGTAGCTAAAATCCCGATCCTTGGATCCAACCTTGGACAGATCTCTTCTGTGCCCTCTCAAAAACTCTTGTATCCGTCCTAGAGTGGGGTGACTAGAACTGGATGCAACAGCCTAGCTGGGGCCTAAACAGAGCTTTATTCAGGGCTTAGTTTTTGTATTCAATTGATCTATTTATCAATGCAAAGATTCCACATGGTTTACTCACAACTCTCGAGTCCTGGAACCTCTGTTCTTGCATATTTGTTAGAACTCAGCCATTAAGCCAATATTGGTTCTTCATGGTCATTTGATGGTATGAAAGGGGCAATTCAAATATAACTTTATAATGGGTAGAAATGCTGTTTCAGGCTTCAGACATAGTACGTGGAAACAAAGAGACAACAAAGCAAGAACAGCTGCTACTGACCCTTGATCATTTCGAATTGCTTCTATGACTCCCAACACCAATGGCCAGCCAGGCCCCAGGCTGTCTCCCTCATTCTGCAGGATTTGAAGCACGCACTCCAACTGTTTCTGTCGGATGTCAGGGTGCACAATATTGGACAATTCCTTCAATGGATTCAGCAGCAGCGACTGCAACCTCTGCAAGGAAATCCAAAAGCAAGCTCAGAGCAAAGTCAAAACGCCATTGAGAAATAAGATCTTATAAAAGAATCCAATTTTTAAAGCAAATTATTAGAGCAAAGAAGAATAGAGAACCTTTGAAGTGAACATCAAAAATTCAACAGTTTCTTAAGAGCTAAATTTCAATGACAAAATTGAAAAAGACGCTCTGGCCAAGAACAAAAGGGTAATCAGTTCATTTTAAATAGGAAGATGACAAAATGCAAGCAAGGTTGGTAAGTTATCACCAGAAGGTGACATGTAGACATAGAGGTCCACAAATTTGCTTATTCTCTAGTTTTGTTTCAAACAATAGTTCAGACAATTACTTCTGCATGGCTATTGGTCTGAACAAGGAACTATAGCGAAGGTTGTTCCTGACTTCATTTAGGGCTTGGTGTTCAGTGGTACCCGCTGCATCAACCAAATGATTTTGCAAGAATGACAACGGCAATAGCTAAAGAAATCTCAGTTGTGCATGTGTTAAAATTCCATCGTTCAATTTTGACAAAATCTACAATACACTGATCACTTGCTACACATTTGCAACAGATCAGCAGTAAAATTTGTGCTTTAAAGGACTGGTTTATCACTAGAGAATATTCCTGTTCTCCTGTCACTGGGCCTAAGCTGGTTATAAATCAACTAAATTTAAGTTAAGCAAATTTTATGGGTCACAGAAACAATTTAAATTTTCTGCCTTAAATACTTTTGCTCAGCAAATTGGAAGTATGCTTTGGCCATCACTCTCAGACATTTGTTCAGAAATGACTCCTTAAGACAAACGATGTTCAAAACTCATTACAAAGCGATAAAAGATTTGAGGGAGGCAGTTTTGATGTTAATGATTGCATTGCAAATAAAAGGGCTAATCACAGCAAGATGCTTTTGCAATGTGCCCCAGGTCTTATAAACACGCAGTCAGAGATGGTTTTCCTTCTGCAACCTGTGCTACTTCATTAAACTTGGTTGAAATGACAAATTTCCAGTGGGAATGGAATTGGTCTGGGATCCGTTAAGGAGTTCTTCCATAAATAAGAACTGTAACGAGAGCACACAATGGATTGCCATTAGGCCTCGGGCAAAATACATCTCTTTCTTCCTCTAGTCAATAGCAATGTTTGAGTGAACGGTTTGTAAAATCAATTCCTGCTTCTTTCTCTTGATGAACTAACCTGATTTTGTGATAGTGGTGGATCATGTTTAAAAGACAACCCAGCTTTTATCAGAGAAGTCACAGCTTCTGCTCCCCACTCCCGCATTCTGGCATTTGGGTGCTGGCATACCTGTGAACCAAATGGGAAAAATAGCATTTAGGTATTAAGTAGGAGCCAAATGTTTTAGGAAAACAGAAAGGGAAAGTTACGGAGTGCACTTTGACCTCACAAATAAGTTAGTTCAAAAGAAAAATAAAAGCCAACAGATTCTAAAGTAAAATCCGTTCTTGAACAGTTTGTTAGCTTAGATGCACATCAACAAACTATCAAATTTACAAAACTAAACCTGAGACCTAGGACATTGGATCACAAACTGTCTAATACCCATGCCACCCTCAAAACAATCACCACAGACTACTGCTAGCAGGCCCCTCTCTCCTTCAATTTAACATCTGAAAACATAAAAGCAAAATTATTTTGATCATATGTGCTGTCACGATTGTCAAGTGTATTTAATGATGAAAGCAGCTGCTTTTCACTGAACTGACAGATTACCACATAACATGCCAGCAAGAACAAATGACAAACATTACATTGTTCATAAGTTGTAACTTTCAATCCCACGTAAGATTTTGCATCTGTAAAAGTAGCACACTGCAATTAATACTGATTGACTTGCATAACTACCATAAATTGACATCACCACTCAACTTCCCACAAGGAATTGTCAAACTTCTTATTAAATTCAAAGAACCAGCACAACTTACTAAATTCAGGAGTGACCAGACAGCGCTGCTTTCATTGATGCTACAGTAATTGTGTAAATGTAGCCTGAATATAGAATCATACCTTAATCTGACACAGCATCAAAGTGAAAGCAGGCAGCCCAGGGAAAGAGTGAATTGTGCTCTAACACAGAGATGAACTGTGCCTCAACTCCAGATAAGATTAGCAATGGTGTAAGTGGAAACCATTCTTCACCAACACTAATCTTGAAAACGTAAGTCAACCCTCAAAACAAATAACTACTATGTCAAGATAGCTAAGCTTCATTGCTGATCCTGTTCTAGATGACATTTGCAGATCACATACCTCACGTAGCCAAGTAACTTTCCACACAATGCTGCAGAACAAGAGTGCCTATTACAAATCAGATGCCGAAGAAGCAATGTTCCAAAAATTACATTTTGCTGAAAAATTAAAATTGACATCTAACGTAAATGATAATCATTTGCTTCCCTCATGCCTGTGACATTTATTAGCCCATATAATATATATTTATTCTGATAGCAGGTAATAATTCTGTAGGCTATGAGCATTATGCTTCAAGTGAATCAAATAACTTGTGATAGAACACAAGAGTAATTAATTTATTAAGATACACATTCAGTTACTTAAAGAAGCATTGTGGTACAGGAATAATACTTCAGAAGTGCTTTTGCAGGGTCCATTCCAGCTTCGATCAGGACCGGCACAGAAATCATTCATATTATTTGCTCTGTTTAAATTATCTCCTGAATGATTCAACATAACGTTATAAAATTTGCTAGTTTTATTATCAAGTGAAATGTCTCCAATTTTAATACCTACATTCAGACCGGACACATATGCAGTGCTCTCAAGACACTGATTAATTTTGTTAAGCACAAAAATCAACACAATATAAATAACTCCGAACAATACCTTTTAAACATGTTAAATAATTTTCCATTGCATAATTGGAATTAAGCACAGCTATTGTCCCATGGTATTTGCAATGCAATACTGATCTACACATTTGGCTCATTTAAGGATTGGCTTTGAGCTACCCTGATTGTACAGAGCTTATTCAATGACTAGCTCAACTACACAAGATCCACACTCCTTATACAACTATGTGGAGTCAGTGTGTAGCATGGGCTGTTCTCAGCACCCATGGCTGGGAGAGCAGGATCATAGTGGATCCCTTCTTTGGAATGTCATCCTATGAACTGTAGAAATGGTACAGAGAAGATTTACAAGGATGTTCCTGAGACTGGGGGGTTTCAGTTACAGGGAGAGGCTGGACAGGATTGGACTTTTTATTTTACAGTGTAGGAGGCTGAGGTTAAGTCACAAGATTCATAGGTTAGGTAAACAGCCAAGGTCTTTTCTCCAGGGTGGGGGAGTCCAAAACGAGAGTGCATAGATTTAAAGAGGATGGGGAAAGATTTGAAAGGGACCTGAGGGGCAACTTTTTTCACACAGAGAATGGCTCATATGTGCAACAAACTGCCAGAGGAAGTGGTAGGGGTGAGTACAATTACAACATTTAAAAGACATTTGGACAAGTACATGAATAGGAAAGGTTTAGAGGGATATGGGCCAAACACAGGCAAATGGGATGAGTTCATTTTTGGAAACCTGGATAAGTTGGACCGAAGGGTTTGCATGCTGTATGACTCTATGACTCCATGATAGAAATGCCAAAATGTGGATGTAAGGAAAGAGTGGCAGAATAATTGGGAATTTTTTTTTCCCATTCAAACAAAACTAAGCTAAGGCCAAATTTCAAAAGAATACCTCATGCATGAATGTTCTTTCACTTACCTATGCAAATTATAGATCCTCTACACTTGGCGGTTACATTTTCTTGGATGATCAAAATACTCCTCAACTTCACATTGTTTCATTTACTGTCAATTTTGCTCAGTCTTACCAATCCTACTTGTATTTCAGAAGATGGCGGAGGCAGTGGCGTAGTGGTCGGACACTGCTTTGAATGCCACCATGGCAGGTGGTGAAATACGAAGTAAACAAAAAAAAAGCTCGAATAAAAAGTTGGTCCAATGAGGTAACCAGTATCGGTTGTTTTAAAAACTCATCTGTTTCACTAATACCCCTAGAGAAGAAAATCTACCATTCCTACTTGGTTTTGCCTGTGTGACTCTAGACTCACACATGTGGTTGACTCCTAACTGCCCACTGGGCAATTAGGGATGGACAATTAAAGCCAGCCTTGCCAATATTCCAAGAATGAGTAGAATAAAATCCATTCCAAGGCTGCCGGGAGTCTAGCAACATTAAAGACGGTGTTGAAGAGGGGCTAAACTCTGTTGGCTCCTTCAGGAAGACAAGAAAGGTTCCACAACAATTCTTCAAAAAGTGAACAGAGTTCTCCCAGTGTCCTGACCATGGTTGATTCTTCTCCCATCAGTACAGATATGTCCTCCAGTAATGCATTTATCTGTTACTTGTAAAAGTTTAGCTTGCACATTGGCAATGACATCTTCCTACATAAGTGACCATAGTTCAACTCTTCACTTGATGTTCATTACTCGGAATGTTTTGTGGAGGTAAAAGGCACTGTGTTAATGCAAATTCCATCTTAGCTGCAGGCTTATTTTAACAAAAGTATCACGAGATATTTTACTATTCTGCAGTCCTTGAGATTGTTCCATCTCTGTGGGTTCATGGTGACTGGGGAAAGGTATTGAACTTTATAAACAGCTACCACAGTGAAATCTTCCCTCATAATGCAAGATCTCAACATCCCAAATCTGGATCCAAAGAGCTCCGCTGATCCTTTCCAAATGTAAAAGTTGAATTAATCTCAACACCTTTCCAGTGTTATATCCTCCAGTGAGAATACATTACACTGTTGTACTGCTTGAATCTAGTACACATTTAAAATATTAAGTTATGAAAATTTGCAAATAGAACAAAGTGGAAAATGTATTAATGATAACAATACAAGTATAACGGCTTTGGGGAGAACAGCTTTGTCAAGGATGCTTAGATAACAGGGAAGGACTTACCTTCTGCAAAAGGTGAGAGGAAGCGATAGGAAGAAAACAGAAAGGGACAGCATGAAGGTGACAGGTTAGAGAACATGGTAAAATTCATAGTGCTTCACTTGGCAATGGCGCAGTGAAAATTACGTGGCTTATTTCTAGATGAATACTACAATTTGAACTTGCCAGAATCACTATTATAGATGCATAACCACTTCCTCAAACTTTAGAGATGCAAAAGTGTCACTATTTCAGAATAATCGTGTAAAACAAAATGATAAAGAGTTCTGCTCTATTGTGTCCCAAAATTTTAATATTACACCTGTCACGAACCCAAACATTCTACTTAACTAAATAATAATGCTGTGTTCAGCTTTACCAAACTTTAAATTTTATGATGCAAAGACAGAGCGGATCCAAAAATGAATACTTTTCCCTCAACTACCATAGAGAACAACAGGCACTTCTACCTCAGATGCAGAGGTTACATGTGCAGCTTAATAATCTCTCTCAATAACCCAAACTAAAGTTGAACAGGTGCCTTAGAAGAGCACATCACAGTGCTAAAATAGTCCTAAATTTTTTTCCGAATTTTTCTTACTGTCTTTCCAGTCAAGTTGACATGATCATTTCCAGGGCAAGTAACCTTAGAATCATGCCCACATGAAATTAAAATATGACTTTTCAAATTCTGAGAGGTGTTCATTTGATTAGTCCAGTAGAAACTTTGGTATTTCAATCTACTTAATCCCCAACCCATTTTGATGTATGCCCATAAGTTATTCTTTCATCAAGACTATTTTCTAAGGAACATTTTATTTCTGTGAAACATTTGGCAAATTGCAGCTTTTTTTAAAAATATGTGTCAAATACTGGGGGCATTATTTATGTAATTTTAATGTAATTCTTTTTCTGAAATAATCTGGAATTGGTATTCTAAGCAACTTACTGCTATATATTACATGAATATTAAAAACATAGGTGGGAAGCATATATTTGCTGAATTAAAATTATTCACTCTCTTATTAAATCTGATACAAGTTACATATACAGTTAACAATGAATACAACAAAAAATAAATGGTTTACCTCCAGTAAGTGTCCTGTTAAAGGCCTCCAGAGAATCTCAATTCGGTGCATATTCACTAATCCTGTTTCGAGCAATTTAGCAACAGCAAATAGAGAAGGTTCCTAAGTAAAGAATAAACAAATTATTAGCATCAGAAATAAACCAGATTCACAAAAGTTATACCAGGGTTGAATGGGTTGAATTGTGTGGCCAGTTCCCCAGACTAGGCTTGCATTCCTTTGAATAAAAAAAAAGATTTGGGGTATTCTAATCTAAATGATCAAGGAAGTAGGTAAGATAGGGAAAAAAACATTTCCTCTGGTGGATGCTTGAAGAAATACATTTGTAAGGACATTGTACACCTGTGACTTGCCATTGTCATGATTTCACACTTGAATTTGAGAAGCCATAAAAAAAACTACATGAAATATGCTGCCGAGAGCGCGCATCTGAAATTGTGTTGATTATCAGAGCTCTAAGAGAGTCAAAGCCAGTAAGAACAAATAGAAGAATTGGAACTCCAGTCTGCTACTTTGAAGTATGAGATAGTTTGGCTGTGAATTTGAGTCCCTGATACTGTGGAAATGAAAGATGATATTAAATAGAATGGGAACTTCTTCCTATCTCAGTAGCAAAATTAAGAAGCACCTACAGAACTAAACAAAAAAGACCTGAACAAATAAGTGTATCAATCTCATTATTTGTGGGTGGGTAAAGACATAAACAGTTTTGCACCCTAAACCTCACTGAAGAGCTTAGATGCCAAACTGGAGAAATTTTGAAGGCCTTGTAAAAACATTTTGAACGCTCTGCTGTGAACAGGCAGGATTGAACAAAGTTCATGGGGAGACAGAAAATACTGATTAATATGCGATGGCACTGACTCATCTAGTTGAATCTTTACAGTTTGGACAACTGAAAGATGATCTCATGAAACACAGAAATGTATTCTGCACAAAAGATCTTGCTGTGAGAGGATGTTTTCTGAGACAGGAGAAACTTACTCTCAAGGAAACTACTGACAAAATGGAGAAAATCTGAGGTTGTTAATTATTGGCTAGAGACTATTCGTGTAAGAATAGCCTACACATTGTGCTGAGAGACAGTCCAGGCCAAAGCAGACCAATATCATAGGAAAACAGAAACATATGTAGAAGAATAGAAGAAAGATCAAGACCAGGTACAGAAGTTATATATTGTGGAGGACATTACACAAAACAAAAAGAAATATGATCCAGGAAGGAAAAAGCTGTGCTGAATCACTTAGTACACAAATATTTAATTGGAAAGAAGCAAGGCAATCCTACAAAGATGGCAGCTGAAGAGATATCAGGCACTGGCTCCGTTAAATCACTCTACACAAGTAGGCATCATCAGATCTAAAGCGAAAAATGGTTAGTGACTGCTGGAATGAAGATTATGAAGGAATGTATCAAGTGAATGCAAAGTATAAGATAGACCACCAGTGCTTTGTGTAACACCATGAGTTTCATAAATCTGTGCAAAATGATAATTTTAAAATGAAACCCTCAAAAGCAGGATTGAAGTTAAACACGTGAACAATACTCAACCCAACAGAACAAAAGAAGCTGAAAGGCAAAGCAATAGGAAAAATGAAGACCCATAATTCTAGACAGTAGATGAAAGACAAGCTGGAAAAGAAGGCAGTACTCAAGAAAACGAAAACTTCTACAGACTGGATTAACAGCATTATAGCAGTGAAAGCGGGAAAACTGAAAGTACACTTAAATCCAAGGATCTCACTCAGCTTTGAAGAGAGCTCACCACCCTATATCAAACATGGAAGAAATTCTCCCACAACTTACCATGATAAAGGTCTTTATGACCCTTGATGTGAAGGATGGTTACTAACAACTGAAGCTAATGAAAGCAGCGGTTTTTAAACTACGAGATAGTAGGAACTGCCGACACTGGAGTCTGAGACAACAAAGTGTGGAGCTGGATGAACACAGCAGGCCAGGCAGCATCAGAGGAGCAGGAAAGCTGATGTTTTGGGCCTGGACCTTTCTTCAGAAATGGGAGAGGGGAAGGGGGCTCCGAAATAAATAGAGAGAGGGGGTGGCGATGATGGAAGGTAGATAGTGGAGCAGATAGGTGGAGAGAAGACGGACAGGTCAAGGAGGTGGGGATGAAGCCAGTACAGGTGAGTGCAGGCAGGGAATTGGGATGGGGGTTGGTCAGTGAGGAGGGAGGGGCGGGTAGGTGGGAGGGAAAATGGGCAGGTCAAGGATGGCAGGGATGAGGCTAGTAGGTAGGAAGTGGGGTTGGGGATTGGTCAGTGAGGTGGGAGGAGCGGATAAGTGGGAGAAAGACGGACTGGTCTTGGGATGAGGTTGGGGGTGGGGAGATTTTGAAGCTTGTAAAGTCCACATTGAGACCATTGGGCTGCAGGGTTCCCAGGAGGAATATGAGATGCTGTTCCTCCAGCCTTCAGGTGGCATCGTTGTGGCACTGGAGGAGACCCAGGATGGACATGTCGTCCAAGGAGTGGGAGGGGGAGTTGAAGTGGTTCACAACTGGGAGGTGTTGTCGTTTGTCACGAATCAAGCGTAAGTGCTCCACAAAGCGGTCTCCAAGCCTCCGCTTGGTTTCCCTGATGTAGAGGAGGCCACATCGGGAACAGCGGATACAAAATACCACATTAGCGGATGCGCAGGTGACAATCTGTTTAATGTGGAAGGTTTTCTTGGGGCCTCGGATGGAAGTGAGGGGAGAGGTGAGGGGAGAGGTGAGGGGAGAGGTGAGGGGCAGGTGTAGCACCTCCTGTGGTAGCAGGGAAAAGTGCCAGGGGTGGTGGGGCTAGTGGGGAGTGTGGAGTGGACGAGGGAGTCGCAAAGAGAGCGGTCCCTCCGAAAGGCAGATAAGGGTGGGGAGGGAAATATATCCTTGGTAGTGGGGTCAGATTGCAGGTGGCGGAAGTGGCAGACAATGATGCATTGAATCCGGATGTTGATGGGGTGATACGTGATACTTGATATGTAACTTAGCTAATTTCCTGCCTAATTTGTCACCAGAGTGTGAACCTCTACACAAACTCGGTAGTTGCATGGGTATTGGAGAACACAACAAGCAGCAGCTTTCACTCAAGTTAAACAATTCTGTGGAGTTCAATATTCTGTGGAAGTCAACAATCTAGCAGAGACACTGAGTCTGAAAGACAACTATCTTGTTTTAGTAAAGCATTCATCACAAGACTGGAACTCACCAGAAAAGAAATATGAGCCCATGAATGAGCAGCTACCAGCCAAACTGTGAACACTAACATGCAAGTGTGCCATTAAAAGACCTGAATATTTTAAAGGTTACGGAAGAAATGCATGTGCAGGGATAGGCTAAAGTGGAAGAGACTATTACAAGAGATAACAAGGTGTAGAGCTGGATGAACACAGCAGGCCAAGCAGCATCAGAGGAGCAGGAAAGCTGACGTTTCGGGCCTAGACCCTTCTTCAGAAATGGGGGAGGGGAAGGGGGTTCTGAAATAAATAGGGAGAGAGGGGGAGGTGGATAGAAGATGGATAAAGGAGCAGATAGGTGGAGAGGAGACAGACAGGTCAAAGAGGCGGGGATGGAGCCAGTAAAGGTGAGTGTAGGTGGGGAGTTAGGGAGGGAATAGGTCAGTCCAGGGAGGACAGCACCTCCCAGTCGCAAACCATTTCAACTCCCCCTCCCATTCCTCAGACGACATGTCCATCCTGGGCCTCCTGCAGTGTCGCAACGATGACACCCGAAGGTTGCAGGAACAGCACCTCATATTTCGCTTGGGAACCCTGCAGCCCAATGGTATCAATGTGGACTTGACAAGCTTCAAAATCTCCCCTCCCCCAACCGCATCCCAAAACCAGCCCAGCTTGTCTCCACCTCCCTAACCTGTCCTTCCTCCCACCTATCCCCTCCTCCCACCTCGT